AAAATATTAATTTTTAAAACGGGAATTCGGATTCGTGATCTGATTCCCTTTCCCTGTACCTTACCCATTTGAATAAAATAAATGATCCCAAACAGGAATTTTATTAAATTGGAAAGAGAACAAGACGGAAAATTTAAAACGGATACGGATGGGAACCGGGTACCCGTCCAGAAATTTTCAGGGCTATGTGTCATACGTGGATTTAGGTCTGAACAAAAAACTCAGACCCGAAAATCCAAACCGGAACCGATCCAAAATAACCGGTTCGGATCGGGTTCGGTTATTATCAAATTACCCGACGGATATTAAGTTTAAGAACCGTGGGTATCGGGTCGGTTCCAGTTCCTACCCGATATCCGATCGGTTGACCGAAATTATACACTTAGAGTTTGTAGAGCAATTTTCCGTTGAACCAGATGGATCCAGAAGTCGATATACATATCATTCCGTAGGTCTCGCAGTCAGCTATTCAGAACTTCTTTTCGTTATCGATTTCGAAATATATTCAATCCGGAAATCAATTTACAAATTGATGAAAAATTTTAGTTTTTATTCGGGTATTTGGTTACATTTCGGGTATATGGTTACTTTTTTACTTATTTCGGGTCTAATCGGGTATAAAAATTGGAACCGAATCAAAATTATAAAAAAACTGATTTTTTCGGAAACTAAACGGTTCTAAAATTTAAGAACCAAACCGATCCGGAACCGACAGGAACTGAACCGAACCCGAATCGAAATCTCTTCGGTACCTATATGGATATAAAATTCTCTTACCCGAAAGTACCGGAACCGAACAGATCCGACCCAGAACCGACCCGAATATCCGAATGCCCAAGCCTACGTGGATTCATGTATGGGAATGTACGTGTATGAGAGTGAGGGTCAAATGTATAGAATTAGATTCAGTGTCATTCTTTAAGGGTAGTATTAATTTCAGAGTTTTTAATATATGAAAATGAAAATAAATACCGGTCACTCTTTCGTTTTGGAGTAAAAAGAATACATATTTATCAGAATACGTATGTATAGCCTCCGTTATTAATTAACGATCCAAAATTTCAAGATATTTTCGTTTTTGGTACCTGCATGTTTTATCATTAAATTACAAAAGAGCTCACTCTAGTAGGGAAATAAGCCCACAATGGAGCCTACATCGAGAAAAGGTAACTGGAAAGCCCAACTAAGTAAAAGCCCACTCAGCATATAGGTGAGAAAACGCTGCAAGTGAAGTCACTAGTCCCATCGTTGCCGTTTGGTTGAGGACAGAATCAAGAGAACGATGCGTGTTTTCGGTGAAGACATTCACTTCTTGATTTGATCACTGCCAAACCAAAAGGATAAACCAATCAAATCTGTATTTTTTCTTCTTTCTCTTCCAAGAATGATATTAGATCTTCGTTTTAGAGAATTCCGAAAGACGGTATATTACTTGGGAAACACAGCTTCGAAGCCAAACTCGACCAGATTATTTGGGATACATGCAAATAATATTTAATTTAGGTTCTTTGGAGTTTGGCTGCACACAAGATTTTGAATAAATTTATAATTAATTTCATATGATATACGCAATTTAATAAACCCCCTTAATATTTTCGTCACGTCTTTTATAAATGTACAGTATATTAAGGGAGTTTATTGAATTGCGTATTTCATATGATTAAATTTGTTCTAGCAAGAGCTCGAACAACAAGATTTGACTGAAAATGTTGCTGATTTTGTTTACATTTGAGATATTTGAGAAGAAGTTCATAGTACGTAAAAGTTCTCAAACCCATGTAAAGTCGAGTTTTGTCACTAACTGTGTTGTGTTCAAAAAGTTAACAATCTTCAAAGACCACGACACGTTGTTGAAAGATTGTTAGAACTGACGTGCGTCTTCTCTCGGGCTGCACGTACAATCCTAACTCTTAAGGGGTACGTACTAGCCAGGAACTCAAGCATCTTAAGGAATTTTTTTTTTTTGTTATTGTATCTAATAAGCTAAAAACTAATGACTTTGTAAGGCTAGTTTATAATAAGTTACACGACCAGCGATAACTGAATAGTCTAAATCGTATTGAAGTCACGAAATGTGTGTCCGTAACGGTGGGGGATACTGGTTATGGGTTCAGAAGTTGTAAGGTGTTTCCTAAAATTCAAACCCCACATGATACCCATATCTAAACTTAAAAAAAAAATGGAAAAAATGCACTGAACTAGACATCGTACATGTGCAATACAGTTACCAAGTGTCGTAGTCTCTCATTTATCACTCAATAAAATGTCTCCGCAAGTCCACTGCACCGGTTCCATACCCATAACCTATCTATTTCTTAATTTCATTTGGGGGATTCTAATCTTTACATGTTATGATAAGGATACGTAGCCTAATAGTTTGAGTTAATGTTAGAGCTGTGTTGATTTTAGAAACATTATAGCTATACAGCCATATATAAATTTCAAGTATATTAACGTAGGGTTATGAACTAAATAGCTGTCGTGCATGCGGTACGTGTAGTTTTCACGCGGTGGTCTTTGTTTATTCTTTGCGTGTCGAGATTTCATCCGTAATTGTGGATTGTTGTCATGTGGGTTTTTTTTGTGTTATACTATATATTATTTGCCGTTGCCAGTTGATATGGTGTTTAATTTATTCAACCACCCTAGAAGCCTAAAACAATACAGTATAACAAGTTGTTTCGAGTTTACATAGCTGTATAACCATAGGAGCTATAAACTATACAGTAACCTTGCTTCCGAATTTACATAGTTTTTTTTAAATAGTATTCCTCGTGATTGTAATTAAGAAGTGTCGTTTACGAAAAAAAATCTTACAGTTTAAGTAATTTGTTAATGGAAATACATGTTAAATTTTGTTGAGTAATGCAAGATTATTTTGTTGTAAAGGCCATCTCTTATGCCAACATGGATCCAAGCTTAAAACTCCCAAAAAGATGCAAGACCTATGTAACCGGATCCTGATCGAGACTTGTCGAAATTTAGTGGGGAAGATGATGTAACCTACCTCGTGATTACTAAACCAAACAGATTAATTATATCAAAGATACTCTTGCTAATGAAAATTTCAGTTACAAGCTATAAGCTTCATACTAAGTACTACATTAATCATCTCAAAGGTAATACTCTTGGTCAATGTTTATTTCACTCTTTTACTTTGATACAATTGAAGTCGTCTTCACTGAATCACAATATATCATCACTTCGGTATGTTTCTGGAATCTATTTGTTCATCCTTTTTTTTTCATTTTTTCTGTGAAAATTTCCATAAGGTTGATGGCTATGTACAGTACCTGGGTTAGGCAGTGGAGAGGGGTCACCCGCGTGTGACAGCCTGTTTAGAGAAAAAGATATGCATGATCCATAATAAAGCAAAATGATAATTAACATACTGATTTTTTTGTTCATTTTCTAATGTGAAATGAATGTAGATCGGCTCACAACTGTCAGACTCTGTAGTCTTTATCTTTGGAAAATGTCAGAGACACGCAAATAGTATATAAACCGTTCATATTGCCAAACGTGTGTACTTATTTTGTTTTTTTTTCTTCATCATAACGAATATTTATTTTAATATTATATAAATACAAAACGATAATCCAATGGAAGCGATAAAATCCCCAACTACTTGGAGAATCATCTAGTCTTAGATTATTGTGCTGAAAATCCAGAGATCATGGCACTCAATCATATCACTGTAGAGTAAGTCCAAAAAATATAGGTATGTACGTGTAAAACATACCCTTTTTGTTTCTACCAAACTTTTATTGACTAATGATATGAACTACCAATTTAGAAGTGCGCCGATTAATGCAAACCCTTATAAATGGACGGTGAAGGAACTGAAATCAACGGCAGCTTCCACCTTCCAACTCCTAAAGTATTAGTCATTTTCGTCATGTGATTAACTTATAGGTTTCTTCCTCACGTTCTACAAAATCAATCACTGAGTTAAATTAAAAGAACTGACTAGTACCTAAAAGCTCTCTGAACATTTAGTTTCGAAAATAATTGATCGCCTATATTTCGTCTAACATCCTACAGATTATGTTTCGAAAAGTTGTGACTATAGAAAGCCAGTAAATGAACTTAATTAAGTTTCATTGGTGTGTGTAGTCAAAATGCTGAACAATGGCTAAAAAATTATTTACTATAAATATGACAGATAACAAAAAAAAAATATATATATACGGTTCGGATATAGTATTTATCAAATTTTCTTTATTTCTCTTTTCTTTATGACTGAAACGACTATTTATAAGAATTACTGATAAATAAGTATGATTGTTTTTTTTAAATCATGTTTTTTCTAAACGTAAAATGATAGTAGATGTGAGACATGGAAAAGAATTAACGTATCAAGTATCAACTATAGCATATGGACAAAAAAAATCTTGATAAATGTAGCTACAGTAAGCTTTAATAATTACTGATTTTTCCTCTCCACAATAGCTTCTACATTGATAGTTTGCATTTCGGTGCACTCCGAAAATGTTTTCATCTAGAAATGCACTGATTTATGTAAACCCTTAAAATAAATCTTGATAAATTTTTGCCTCAGTAGCTTTGATTACTGATTTTTTTTATGAACAAACACAATCATAAACATAACTTATTTTTGAAAAAAGACTTTTTTGGGGCGTGCGTTCAAGGCAGTTGACATGATCCTTAAACGTCCGATATAACGTTGTGCGAACATATCTCACGGATGAGACACCTTTATCTATAATTTTAAACTTTAATTTCTATAATGAACTCTATTAATTATACTTGTTACAATTATACTCATCCCTAAAAGAAAATAATGATTTCAACGGGAGGACTGAGATGATGGGGCCGACATGTAGTTACGTTTCTTAAATGGTGAGAGGCAATATTTATTATTCTGAAAAAAAAACATTTATTTACTAATTAATTTAATCTCATTTATTCTGTAATCAATGGGTAGGTTGGTAGATGAAGAGATTGTAAATACGATGGTCAACACATATGGATCTCTATGTATACGAGTCTATATATTTAGTAACCTCGACTCCCAAGGCTTTACATCACCAATACATTTAAGTTTTGTATATTTTCTTCAGTTGGCTGAGTATATCTTATTTCAATATGGAATCCAATTGTGTTCAGTTTCTTGGCAACAAGACGATTGTCATCACAGGTGCTCCAGGTTTTCTTGCCAAAGGTACGCTCTTTCTACACGTTGGTACATTTCGTGTTACTTAACAACGTAATGAAGATTTAGTACTCTATTATATATGTTTCATATTACCTTGGTAGTTATTTCAGAATTTACGAATTTTAATTTTCTCTCGCGTGGAATTAGTTCTATTATGGTATGGTTAGCAACAATAGTATTATTTAATGTGTACAAAAAGAAAAGCATCAATATAGTTTTCTTATATATAGTGAACATATATAAAAAAAAATTGTTGATCTTACTACTAAAAGACATTTTATTGTCTGTAATCATGATTTCCTCATTTATATTGATACTACAAAAGAGTAATAGTGATTAGTTTGGGAAGATATTTTAATGAATAATATATATATATATATATATATAATTTTTATTATCCATTTCAATTATTCTTACACAGTAGATTTTTGGGGCCCATACATGTACATGTAGCTTCAACTTATTTAATGAGTTCTATGTAGATTTAGTTTCATAAAACTTAGTACTTATTATTAAACAAAATATTATATGTTGCGATGATGAAATTGCTTCATAGACTATAAAAATACACATTTTATATGTTTGCACTCAGTCAAGTGTGTATTACCTTATAATATAACCAATACTCCCTATGTTTCATATCTTAAGATATCAGGGAATTTCCGTTTGTGCCTTGTAAACTTGTAATCAGACAAACACATTTTTTTTAAAAAAAAGACATTTAATAATTATGTTTTAAGTTCTAATTATCCACATTTTCAAATAGTTTGCACATATTCTATTTTCCCACACTATTTTTTTCCATAATTATAAACCAATAGTAGTTTAATTTATTCAAATATCTCCACTAATATTATTTAAAGTTTACGATATATTGGCCTTAATTAATAAAGAATAAATCAGTTTTCATGCGCTGTCAAAAAAAAAAAAAAAAAAAAATCATGCAACTGGATTAGACACTCCTTGAGTTAGTTAATAATCTTCGGTTTTATTTTTTGTTTCGCTTAGTTCTGGTAGAGAAAATTCTGAGGTTGCAACCAAATGTGAAGAAGATGTACCTTCTGTTGAGAGCTCCCGACAATAAAGCAGCCATGCAACGTTTACGTAGTGAGGTATGGCGCAAATTAAATCTTACAACGAAAACACTTACAAACATAAATGATCACGAGGTGATCCATTAAATAACTCAATGATATTAACAATATTTTTTGCTTTATTTTACAATGATACAACAGGTTCTGGAGATAGACCTTTTTAGGGTGTTGAGGAACGATCTAGGTGAAGAAAATCTGAATGCTTTGGTGCGTGAAAAGATCGTGCCGGTTCCCGGTGATATATCGGTCCATAATTTGGGAGTGAAGGACTCTGAGCTCTTACAACGTATATGGAGTGAGACTGATATCATGATCAATATCGCAGCCACAACGAACTTCGATGAAAGGTATTTTCCAAAAATAATGTGATCAGATTCTTTTATATGATTATGTTTAAACTTGGCGTTTTTCTTTGTAACTTCTGATTCTTAACGAAGATGTTGAAATCGCTATTCTCTGTTCTTAATTAAAAACCATAGATATGATATTGGTCTTGGCATCAATACATTTGGAGCTCTCAATGTTCTCAACTTCGCCAAAAAGTGTGTTAAAGGACAACTGCTTCTCCATGTCTCAACCGGTGAGTTTTATTGTTTCTCATACTACAAAACCCACCGTATATGTAGTCATCGAGGCTTACCTACATTTGCATTTAATTTTTTTTGTTTAGCATATGTTTCCGGAGTAGAGTCGGGACTATTACTAGAGAAACCATTCAAGATGGGGGATAGTCTCAACGGAAATAAGAAACTAGACATCAATGTTGAGCTCGATCTTATGAAACATAAATTGAAAGAGCTCGAGCATCAAGACTGTTCTGAGAAAGAGATATCTCAGGCGATGAAAGATCTTGGAATGGCAAGGTTTGCGTCCTAATCACACTTTATTATATGTTCTTAAACATTACTTTGATCATCCACTAGTTTTTAAACTAAAACGGTATATTTACATAGAGCAAAGCTTCATGGATGGCCAAATACATATGTGTTCACCAAAGCAATGGGAGAGATGCTAATGGGACACTACAGAGAAAATTTGCCACTTGTTATCATTCGTCCAACAATGATCACTAGTACTCTCGCTGAACCATTTCCCGGTTGGATCGAAGGATTGAGGTGAACATCGATTTATATCATAATTAATTTCATCATGGATTTTATGACTATACCACAGGTTATATATAATGTGTTAACACAAGATTCATATTTTCATTTCTGTACGTGCAGAACTATAGACAGTGTGATTGTTGCATATGGTAAAGGAAGGCTTAAATGTTTTCTTGCGGATTTAAATACAGTCTTTGACCTTGTAAGTACAAATCCAAAACACTGGCCTAACTCAATTTATAGCATGCTGTATTAGATAACACGTTACTAACTCAATTTATAGCATAGCATTAAATAACACGTTACGTGTTAAATATTAATTACACACGGTCCTCTTACTGTATAAACTATATTTATGAAATGGAAAAATACAAAATAATTTGCAGATACCGGCAGATATGGTGGTAAATGCGATGATTGCAACCGCGACAGCTCACGCGGGAGAAACCGGGAATCAAAGCATATACCATGTCGGTTCTTCTTTTCAGAACCCGGTCACGTTTGGACAACTCCACCAGTTCACTGCTCGTTACTTCGCTAAAAAACCTCTCATTGCTCGCAATGGCTCACCAATCATCGTATCCAAAGGAACGATTTTATCCACTATGGGTCTCTTCAGCCTCTACATTACCCTGCGTTACAAGCTTCCTCTACAGGTACTTTTCCTCAACCCTCTCATTTAGTTTTTGGAGTTTAGGTTTAAAGCCATTTTCATTTTTTTTGGTCCCCAACTTTTGAACTTGTAAAGTACCATAAATTTGGCCCTAGGCATTCATGGTTTTCCGGTTCGTACAAAACAATAAATAAATAATTTGTTTTTTTTTTCACATTGTTTCTCATTTGTTAATGTTTATGCTTTTTTTCATTTCAGATACTTCGATTGATTAATATAATATACCCATGGAGTAAAGGAGACAAATACAATGACGACACCCGCAAAATCAATCTGGCTATGCGACTAGTTGAACTTTACCAGCCTTACTTACTCTTCAAGGGCATGTACGTATATACATTACTCATAAACTTTTACCAAACATTTAAACCAAAAAAAAAAAACTTTTACCAAACATATAAGATTAAGACACTTAACATCTTTGTCTCTAAGGATAGTGAACAAACACTAATTCTGTTAGGACAAACTACAAATGAGTTCTTATATATATCCTATCTTTAATATATGTCACCATCACGTACGTACAGATTAATTATGTCCTGACATTGATTATACATTCTTGTTAATTTTTTTGCAGATTTGATGATTTAAATACCGAAAGACTGCGAATGAAAAGAAAGGAGAACATCAAAGAGTTTGATGGGTCGTTCGAGTTCGATCCCAAGTCCATTAATTGGGGGGATTATATGGAAAACACACACATTCCTGGCCTCATCACCTATGTCCTTAAACAATAAACTATATAGTACGTGAATACTAGTAATATCGTATTGTGCACTGTTTAATGAGTGACCTTGAATCTTGTGTGTAATATTATTTATATTTATCAAAACATTATAAGAAAATAAGATTTATGTCATTATAATTGAATTGTATTATATTTCCTGGTTTCTTTGAATATTAATTACATGTAAAACCAAAATATTGTTTCAACTCAAGATAATGAAATTAAAATTTTCTTATTGTTTACTCACTGTAGAACGACTTTTTTTCTTTTCTAGCAAAGTCAACATATGATGTTTATGAGTAAAAGAGAATTAAACCCGCATAGAAATGACAAATAGTACCCTAAGTCTGCCGACAAAGAGAAAAGATGATGACAAATAGTACTCATCGTGGCATCGTGCTACCGAATTTATTACTATCAACTTTCTAACCAATTTTATATTTTATATAATGGATAGATTTTTCCAAAATACTTAACTGTTTCAATTATTTGAATAAATGATAAACTTATATAATACGTGGTAATCTTTATTTTTTTGCATTAATTATTTCATAATAATATTGTTGGTGTGCGCATATTTGTTGCTATTTTACTGTCATTGTGAGAAAAAAGTATGTGTTACCGTGTAAAGTAGCGTTGATCAATCAATAAAGTGTTATTTGGTTAAAAGGTGCAACTGTAATCCCATTCTCATTCACTTGAGAGTATTTTATGAACCATATTTGGCTATTTTACTATGAATACTCTGACATAACTTTATATTTACAATTAAAATTCATGCAACTACCACAGGCACAGTTACGTTCAACCTAAAACTAAAAGTCATGGAGACCAAAACATATATCTATATATATATATATATATATAGCCTTGTCAGTTGAATTTAGTTCGATCAGGACGAAACACAAGTGGGGCTATACAATAATTGTTGATATTTCTAAGTACTAATAAGCCTGGTTACAACAATTTTGGATGTTTCTACGTACTAATCCTGGTTATGTTTCAACATGTTGGACCACGGCAATAAAATCGAAATACTCACCACTTGAGACAGAAACAATCTTAGTATATATGATAAAATACCAATCTCTTTATAATAAGTTACTAAGAAAAAAAAAAAAGACTATTTACACAACAATTTTGTATCAATCTGTTGGAAGGGACTGGACAAGTGGAAACGATCTACGCCTCACTTTGAGAAAAGATCTCTGAGCTTATTCAGACAATAAATGGTTGCTGGGCCTTTTTGCGTCCGCGTGTCCTTCTCGGGTTAGCACTGATCATGCAAGAGAAGGCGTTTGTCAAATCAGAATCCTCTTCGCTAATGAGGAACTTTGCCGCAGATGGATTCGCCAAGAGGAGCTTGGCCACGAGGTAACCTGCGATGGACCAAGTCTGGTATAGCCGTGCCTGTTTGCCGATGAATCTTGCCCTTTTGGTATCGTAGTACTCTGGCCATTTGTCAATAGCAATCCGTCTCTCGGCTAACTCAACCGCCTTCTCTGCAATCTCTGGTCTACCCATTTTGATGCTTGCTACTGTCAGCTGCAAAAGCACCATGAAAGGGACTCAAATGTTAGAGAATCTAACATTTTCTTCAAGCTTAGTTTATGAGGTCTAAGAAAAGGGAAAGAAAAATCTGAACTAACCTGCCATAACAAAGTTGGCCAAGCTCCTCCGTTGTGATAAGACCAAGGGCTGCAACAAAATCAAGATGCTTAAGATGATAATTTGGATATGGAATAACTGTAAAAATTTACTGAAGACCATATAGAAGAGATAAAAGTACGTGTTCTTTGGATCACTTCCGGTTATGATTCGCCACTCTTCACCTTCCATAGCAGGGTAACAGATCTTGAATGGCATGTCAGCTACAAGTTCTGCCCATTTCGCTTCGACGAAATCAAGAATCGCATGTGACTGATCATTCGTAGCTAAACTGCTCACTATAGACCAAAGGTTCCCCAATGAAAAGAATCTGAAATCCATGTGAGCGGGCTGAAGGTTTCCAATCAAATATCCTCCTCTGTTTGGCATAAAGTCCACTAACCATGAAGGGATCTGATCCGGATAAATGTTGAATTTATTAACCGCGTCGTAAGAGTATTCTTCGGTCTGGTAACGGTATATCTCGTTTATTTTCTTCAGGTCCAACCAGTAGTACTCCCTGATGTGGAAAGATAACGCAACAAGACGATTGTTGAGAGCTCTGATCAGATCAGCTGATCCATCCTCTGGTGTAAGCATCTCACGTGCACAGACCAAAGCTGAATAAAACAGTGCCTGAGGAAGTAAAACAAAGACTTAAAAATGGCTGCAACTATCAGACTGAAGTTACACATATGTGATGTGAAATGCTCACCTGAATCTCCAGGGGATGACCATGGATTCCCATTCGACGGTCTATCATGCAGGAACCATCAGTGACTAATAGAGTAGGGAACATATCGAAACCATCAGCAAGACAGAGCTTTAAGATCATCTTGATTCCTGTCTGCACATCGACTCTTTCCTGCACGGTAAGATCGCCCGTGCATTTCCCATATGCTCTCAGTAAGATAATCCACCACAAGCCTGGGATTCCCGAAACAAAATGAAAAAAAAAGTGAGCTAAGTTAACCTGAAACCAGAACAAGTTTTTATATTCTTTTCACATAATTGTAAGACAGAACTTGAATGTTACCAGAATCAACAGGAGCAACACGTCCAATTGCTGCTTCACCAAAATCAGGATCTAAAACTTCCTCTGTCATTGAATCATCGCCGTCAAGAGGAACAGTTTTCACCTTGAAGCTAGCAGGCATCAATCCTTGACCTGGGCTATGGCAATCCATGGTTTTCTCCCAACTCTGGTCAAGGATAAGCATTATTTTAATGAGAAACAAAACCAAATAACTTCAACTAAACAATTTTTCCTTTAAGCTGCAGATTACAATCATTTGACCTCAAAAGCACAGAAACATTTGACAATATTATGCTTAAGCATGTACTAATCATAGTGAGGACTGACTTTTGTCAACAAAAGCAATCAACAAAGTAGCAAAAAATTCTATCTTTAAAAGTCAGTTGGAAAAAGAAGCAAAGAAAGATTGTATCACCTGTAACTGGAGGGTGTAAAGGATGAAGTTCCGAACAATATCATACTCTCCTTTCAGAAGGAAGGCGATCCCCGAAGGTATGAAATCACGAATGAAGACCTGATCATAATTCAGGACACTGGTAGAGTTCGGGTCATTAGCAGCAATCGTTCCAATAGGACTGCCACAATAGTAAACAATGGACTGCCTCAGAAGATCCCAAGCTTCATCCTCGATAGACTTTGGTCCACCTGATTGCGCGTTGCCATTAGACGAAAGGCTCCCATTCACAGGCAGAGGCATTTCGTCCAAGTCGCGTTTCAACTCGCTGCTCAAGCCGTCAGAAGGAAGCAACGTGGACCTGATGCTCTCCTCAACATCGTTTCTTTGGCATTTGCATCTCGTCGACGACTGCAATTGCTTACCCTTCAGGCCACTGTTTGGACTGTGAAACGAATTTCCACTCTCGTACGAGCTCGTACACCTTAGTCCCCTCCGTTTTCTGCTAGCGGGTTTAAACGAGAGGCTTGGAGTCGAGTTAGCAAAGAAAGAGGCTAAGTAGCATGATGGAGATAAAGGTCCCAATGGAACACGTAGAACGGTTTCTGAAGCCGCCATTTTTTATCACCCCAGAGGGAATGGGCTAGAAGAAGTGATCAACTTTCAAAATGATGCCTGCAAAGAAGAAACTTTACGTCAAAAGTTATCAAGAGAAATCTTCAAAAATGCAAACTTTCAATACCCAAAATCACCGGATATGGTTTTCAAAGCCTTACTCTAAACTCAACGGAGCTACAGTGAAGCTCGAAATAAATGAATCTGACTACGCAATCACTGAAAATGTTGGCTCAAAAACTGTTAGTTGCAATAAAGAAACAAAATTCAGTATCCCAGAAAACACTATCGAACAAATTCAATTCCATTGCTCACCATAGATAAATCCCACCAAATTATATAATTTTTCAAAGATTACCAAAAGGGAACAAAACAACAGCAAATATAGTATGAATGTAAAAGAGATTAGAGCATCGAGGCAAAAGAGATAACGATAGGGATTCACTTACTTTGATGATCCAGATTCAAGCTTTCGAGATAGATTTTCGTATCAGAGGAAATTTTGTGGGGAAAGAGAGGAGAAACCTTCGACAGAGAGAGAGAGTAAAAAAATCCGCTTAGGTCACACACACACAAGTCCAATTCTAGGCTAACGCGTGCGAAACGACGACGTGTCTAAATTCTAAACACTTTTTTTTAATTTTATTTTTGTTCTCTTTTCTTATTTCTTATTTGTTATTTAATTTTTAACGGGATTTGAAAATGAACTGAACCCGTCCGATTTTGGCCTGATCCTCTGGGCTATGGCGTAATGTGTTTCGGTGGTATGAATTTGATTCGGCCTGATCCTCTGGACTCAGCGGACTATTATATGAGTCTATGATGACATATCCAATCTTATCATTGACGTTGAATTACGTTTTCCAATTTTTTAATATGAGATAAAAACCAAGTGTTAAACCGTGACTGAAAAATGAGTTTTATGGAGTAATAAACGATTTTTTTTTTTTAAAAAAAGGCCAGAATAAAAAAGGGCAGAAACAATGCAGGATAAGTGGTGTTTATATGTACTAGACATGTTTCCGCGCTACGCACGGATTATTTTTATATAGATATTTGATTATTATCTAAGTTAAATTATTTTCACTTTAAGTTAATATTTTAAATATAATATTTAATTTTTAAAATTGTTTTGATATGATTATACATCAAAAATATTTTAATGTATTCAAAAAATGTATCATGATATAATTTTAAGAATTACTTACTTGATATATGCTAAAATTAACTATTAATCTAAAATTTAATATTTGTATATAAACTCACTGTTATTCACTACTAACTTTCAAAATATTATTAAAATTATTTTTTGTTTTGACTAAATTTGATTATTATTGTTCCAATTAATTTAGTTTTTTTTATTTTTATTTCAACTGTGTTCGTATAGTGTTTTTATTTAATTAGCAATCTCAAATACAAACAACACTCAATGTTCTAATCTCTTATAAATCTATAAAATAACTATGATTCATATAAATAAAAACAATATTTACATAGTATAAAAAATCACAATCATATTGATAAAATGAAATTTTGATTTGGTCTATGAAGTATACGTAAACTATAAAAAATATAGATGAATAAGGCAAGTAATACATATAAAAATACAATTTCATACTAACTCATTATGTTAAATAAAGTATGTTGAGTTTCTCAAAACTCAAAAGATGTAAAAAAATTTGCTTGTAATTTAACTTAAACATTTTTTCTTAAACTACACATATATATTTTGATGAGCCTTTATAATTAAACTAATAATATATATTGTATTATTTTTAAAGGAGTTTCTTAACCCAGTAAAAAAAAAACCATATTAGTTTTTCATTCAAGTTGGGTTTATAAGGAATTTTGTTGATGTGGATAAATAGAGATTTTTTTAGACATTTTCTTCTACATAAAAATGTGTATGTTATTTTTTCAAAAATGCATTATTATTTAATTTAAAAATTTACTAACTTGATATATATAAAAATTAACTGTCATTTAAAACTTAATTTTTTTTATAAACTGTTTAACTCATGTGCTGACATGTATCGCTTGTAGTAACTTGACTACCTTAACCCAACTAAGACACACATTGAATAAATATCAGTGCATGAAATTCTTCTTTTGTCTATCATTTTCTGCAATGTAAATAGTAACGATGATCGAAATCTTCATATAGATAGTTGAAAAGCTTCCTATAATTTCTGTTGTCTTGTTGGTTGTCATAAATCTAACGTACTATGATGTTTAATCTTTATGTTTCTAAAAGGTGAATGTTTTAGATTTTTATAATTTGTAAATGTTTTAAATTTTATTTTAGAAATTATTATTTTGTAATCTTGTTTCTATTAACTATTATTTAAGTTTTTTAGAGCAATTTCTTGTCCAATATATTCACTATATTACAAAAAGGAGTATATATTAATGCTACAGATTTAAATGATATTTATTTTACTGATTTCGAAAATGATATTTAGTTTTATTTACTTATTCCTAATAACTATATTAACTTAGTGGTTCTATTTATTTATTTTATGTGTATTTCAAAAGATATAAAGTAAATTTTTTATTATTGTTATATTACAAACAAAAGAAGTATATATTGATGCTATAAATTTAAATGATGTTTATTTTACTTATTCAAAAAATGATATTTTAATTTTATTTACTTTTGTTCGTAATTATATTAATTTTAGTGACAAAAATGAGTATATATTAATGCTACAGATTTAAATGATATTTATTTTACTGATTAAAATGATATATAGTTTTATTTAGTTTTTGCTAATAACTATATTAATTTAATGGTTCTATTTATTTATTTTATGTGTATTTCAAAAAAATCTAAAGTGAGAATTTTCATTATTGTTAATTTGTTATATTACAACAAAATAGTATATATTGATGCTATAGATTTAAATAATATTTATTTTATTGATTTAAAAAATAATATTTTATTTTTATTTACTCTTGTATTTAACTATATTAATTTTGGTTATATTTATTTACTTTATGTGTATTTCAGAAAAATCTAAAGTGGGAATTTGTATTATTATTTTTTGCTGATGTGTCATATTTTTAGAATAATTTGAAAAGCTGAGGTGGATAGCTTAAGGAGCCCTAAATAGTTCCTTTTATTTAGTATAGATTTGATGTAAAAATGGTTAATACAGTATGTAAAAAAAGCCCATTTCACATGTTATTGGTATTTTTTAGATAGTATTTATTTGGTGACAATTTATTAAAAAAAAAAAAAAGATGTAACATGAGGATTTCTCGAGAGATCATCATAGTAGTATCATTTTCGCTTAAACATCTCTAATTTCTTTCTTAGTTTTTTGTTCTATCGACCAAAGATTTTTAATTTTTTTGAAGTATTTCTTAATTACTTAGTTATGAAGTTCTTTTTTTCTTCTCCTTATGATATCTCTCGAAACCATATATATTAGTACTTAACACTCATATTCACACATGCAATTGAAGCCGTCACTCTTGAGACTTTGAAAATAACCATGCACGACCGCATTTAGCAAGCTATTCCAAGTTGCTTGGCACTCTTGGTACAAGTCTTATTACATTTGTAGGAGCACAAGCACGAACCTTCCTCGTCACAGTAGTCTCCAATGAAACCCCCAAATGTCGATGCACACCTCTCTGCGCAGTCGCTGCATGATCCTCCTATTGTGGTCTGACATAACGCATCTGCTATTCCGCTTAATACGATCCCTATCATTTTTCCATGAAGAAAAAAAACAAAAGTTGCTTAACAACAAGTAGAAAGTATGCGAACATACAACTCTTTTTTCTAGTAAAACTACTTTTAGAAAAGAAAAAAAAAGACTAAGATCAATGGTAAATAGATACCAGAACATATGAACACGACGAAGAGAGAAGTAGAGAGATTCATCATCGTGACAGGATTGGTTTCAACAACAAAAAATTATGTAGGTATTATATATATGTAAGACACGTAGGAAAATGGCAGTAGGTGTTTTAGTTTTAACGTATTAATTTCTCTTTTGACTTCAGTAGTAACGTATCAAAATGTGTTATAACATTTTTGTTAACTTTATTAAACAAGTGGCTGAAGCATTGAATGCTAAACTTACAAATGGAGACAGATTCTCTAATACGAGTAGTTGAGATTTGGACGGTTTGAATTTTGTTAAATCCATTTGAAGAAAAAAAGTTAATTCTAACTTCTTTTTTAAGAAAAAGTCCAATTCCAACTTCCACAGCAAAGATTGAATCATTACTTTATACAAAGTCCCATATTCATATTTAACCAAGGCTGGATTGAAATTTGACAATGGCAAATACAATTAACACATTCGAAGCTGGCACAACGCATCACGAATCCCTCAAGCATCGCAGCGCAATGTAAACGAAAAATCATTACTGAGATTTTCTAAAACAATTCTGATTCGAAACGGAAGCTCTTATAAGAAGTGAAGAATTGAAACCTCACCGTAAAGAGATTGGTCGCTGTAAATGTTGTTGACAATAGAGCTCAAATTGAAAAATAGCGATAGAGCGGCGAAAGAGGAAGTAGACAATGATGGGCCATACGAAGATAGAATAATGGGCCTTAAACAGAGGAGTTAGCCCAACTTTAAATAGTTACGTAATACAAAAGTGGGCTAAAAATTAAAAGAAGGAAAATCTAGTTGAATTAGGAAATTATCCGTTAATTGTTTTCCTATTATATATTTGGTTTTTGCACTATAAATACAGATTCTCCTGCCAGTTTTACCTCCGAGTTCTCGCTTTCTTTCGCCTCCCTCGATTTTTGAACTTGTCGTGTCTCTCTCTCGCATTAGTCTTTATATTACCATCGTCGTCGTCGTGATAATGATGCAGCGTAACCCTAATCACAATTTGGAAGGTTTTGTAGGACTCATACCCACCAGGATTATCTGCTTAACTGAAGCAGTTACAGATGATCAACTCACAGACGATGAAGAATACGAAGATATCATTGAAGAACTTAGAGAAGAAGGTAGAAGGTTTGGTAAGTATTTTTTTTTCCTGCTTTTGTCATTAATTAGCACTTAACTAGGCTAGTATATTCACGATTAGTACCGTAAGAATTAATAATGAACTGTTTGATAAGTGCAGGAAACTTGGTGAATGTTGTGGTACCACGACCTAACCGGAAACATTATTACACACCAGGAGTTGAAAAGGTTTATTAAACATTCTTTTTTATTAAAACACAAATTCATAAATAAAAACAGCTTCTAATGATGTATTTAATATCAAAGCAGGTTTTCTTAGAGTATGCAGATGTGGATGATGCGTCGATTGCTAGATTGGGGATGAATGGAAGATTTTGTAGGGTAAGCAGAAACCATATAGTGGCTTTGTACTATCCAGAAGACAAGTATGCGCAAGGCCACTTTGATGGCTGACTCTTCTCTTACTTTTAAATCATCTTTGTTTTTGTGTCGAAACTTGATCTTCACGTTTGCTTTTTTTTCAGTGTTAAAAAATTTATGTCAATCTTCCATGAATGTTATTACACTGTCATAACCTCTAGGCTCATTGTTATCTTAGACCAAACAATTTTCTTTCATGGGTTTATGGTGTGATCGCCACTCGGTCAAGCCAATGATTTTGGTTTTGGCTCGACTAATTGGTAGCTGACAATACTTGCATTCACAATAACTTATTCACCCTAATGTTCTATAATATCCCTCCATCTAAGAAATCATATAGCTGTTATAAATCTTCATCCCATTGTAGTTTCGAGGAAATCTTCTTAGAGCATGATAATGATCGATCGATGTGTAGAGAGCTTTGGACTCTTTCTGCTGGAGATGTGTCCCTTGGAGAGGAAAGATATATCAAACTAGGATTATATAATTTTTCTCTCCAAAACTTTACCAATGAGTTTTGCTTTTCTATTTTGGTAATTTCCTAGCAAGTGAGTGGTGGAAGAGAGGAAGCTGCGTGGAGTCAACTCCCAGAAACTCAAAGAAACGCTGTTATAGCAATCAGCTAATAACTCAGGTATGTGTCTCTCATTCTGAAGATTTAAACATCTTCAAGTAGTCAAATCTTGCTGTTTGTATACCTTTTATAATTTTGTTTGTTAGAATTCATCTAATCATCCCAGAGAAATGTCTAAAGGATGTATAAGTTGTTTCAAAGTTACGTGTTTCAGGAAGAAGCAGAGCAAGAAAGAAGAGAAGACTACCAGAGCCGGTTGAAGAAGATGTAGAAAACAGTGAGGACATTAACTTCAAAACTCATTGAATGTGTTTTATCTGTACAAAGCATCTCTCACTTTTATTTTGGAGGACGGAAATAACTATAAGCTGCAAAGAAGACCTGCAAAGCCGCAAACATAAGAAGCAGCAACGCTGCGAACGATGAAGCGAACGTCCATGGACTGTCGAAATGCGTGTGAACAAACTCTGCGCAGTGAACATGGAATCCTTTAGAAGTATACTCGTTGACACCTTCAAACACTTTTGCCAAGTAACTCGTCTCTAAGTCCAGGGCAACATCTTTACCAACGCCTTTGAAAAACCTAGAAACTTCATCCTCTGTTCCGAAATAGTTCTCGAGGATCCTTCTTTCGCTAAGGAACGCTGCGTCGCTCTCTTCGTTTAGTAGACAAGCCATGAAAGCAACGTAGCTCGTTATGTGGTTTGAAGCATCTGCATATAACTGCTCAAACGCCACACAGTTTAAAAAGACCGAGGCGGTGAAATCATCCATGACTATCGGAGGAATGTGAAGCACACCGTTACTAAGCCTTATGTCTAAGATTGAGTCTGTGTTCGTCCTCGGTTTGAATTTGATTCCCCGAAGATGAAGCTTCTTAGCTGATAGAACAAATCCGAGAAAGCCATTATCATTCAATGAGGATTCACTGCTAGGTTTTCGTTTCCCCTCGGAACAACAGAGGATTGTGAGATGGCTATCTTTGATGCTTCTTCGACAAGGAACAGGAACGAAAGTCTTGCGTATCAAATCAAGAATATGTTTTGCATCAAGACTACAATGTTTTGTCCAAAACGCCTCTGGTTTTTGTAAAGAGTAGTCGAAGAATTCAAACGCGACCTCGTTTAAACAGCTACTAGTAACTAACCTGGATGTTTCGAAGAGAGTTTGAAGAAGAACATAAGGAACCTGGTTTTCCAAAAGGAGAAGATCGGCTCGAATCGAGGGCAAAATCCATGGCATTCTGAAGATGGGATCATCAAGATTAGTGTAAACAACTTTCCCAGAGACTACAAAGAACAACGTGAGGATAAAGCAACCATCAAGAACCATCATCTCAACCAATTTTTCGGGATTGTAACCAAGATCCTCGGAGTAAGAACTTCTTATCTCTCTTTCCAATCTAGAAACAGCTTTGATTAAATCTTGAGGATCGATTCCCTTTTCTTCCATTTTAGACCCGAAAAACTTCAAGAACCTGCGTTTGTGTTGCTGGGTCAAAGTGAGATGTTCTTTGCCGTGATGGTAAGGACCAACGGAGACAATCTTGGGCTCGTAAGCTTTGAGGTTGATTCTTGCGAGGCTGTGTGGGATTCTCACGATGCAACATGACTCTGAACCAGCTGATTCTCTCAGAAGCTTCGGACCAGTATCTTCTGAAATTAAGAGTTTTATGTCTACGACTGATGTCGGAATGGGATCATGACTGCTTTGTTGGGTCTGTGGATCCATTAACTCAAACCTTCAAACCCGCACCAGATTCTCTTGTGGTTAGGTGGAAGAGCATATAATATGTTTTTTCTTTTGTTGAATTAGTCTTCAGAACGAAGGTGGAATGAAGTTTAGCAATATTTTGACTTATCTCCACGTTAGGTCGGCAAAGGAACAAAAGTATTATTTCTGATAATCTTAAGACTTTAAATATGTTTTGCAATAGTATAACTCTGTATTGCTTTCTTGCTTAAATCGAGCCACTACTGTTTTTAACCTCCTAGGACTGAATCAAAAAGGATGTACTAGGACTAGTCAACTACCAAAAAGTCAAAGAACACGCTTACAGTAGTAATATGCAAAAGGCCAAATTCTGTTTTCCTCACATTGAAGATATACAAACATCTTCAAGAACCTTATAATATTTGTCTCTGTAAAACCTCGCTTACACTCGACAAGCAATAGTCTGTTAAAATTCAGGAAAAAAAATGTTTAAAGGATGTTTAAGTTGTTTCAACATCATATGTTTCAGGAAGAAGCAGGATAGAGAACAACACAAACCAGTGAAAGCAGAGGATGTGGTTGAGCCGGTAGCACTAAAAGATGATGAAGAAGAAAGCAAGGGAAAGAAGACGAACATCATTAGAACATCTGGATACATCGAACCGGAACATGTCTACACAAGTGCCGGTTTTAATGGGAAACTTGAGGAAAGTGATTCTTCTTCATCGTTGAAAAATGAGTTTAACAAAGTGAAGACTTTTGATTTACGAGGAGTGAAAAAAACAAAGGAGAAGTAAGGCAGAGGATGGGTACTTGAGATGTGTAATATTGATCATGTTCCAAAATAGTTCAAGCTCTAGCTTGCTTTTTTTATTCGATAATATAATCAATTTTGTATTGAGTTACTGATCCCTACTTTTATGTACCTGATTACATGATTCTATATGTTATATATATTAAGGTTTTAAATGAAATTAGATATAATTTCAATAACAAATCATAACATCTTCGCATGATTCGCCTAAAATTATTTAAAAGACAACTCATGAAAACTCAAATCTTTTTAAATATATAGACAAAAAAATTGACCATTTTCAATTTTTGGTTATTCGGATAAGACTGAGATGGCATTGGAGATACAATTGACGACGATCATTTAGCAAGATCACAACTTGAAACCGATCCGCCATTGAATCATACAAGCTGCATGCACCTCTTCAACTGCATGGGGGCAGCAGCCATATAGTATTCTAGTCTATCTTTTTGGTTTGAGTTTTGTGTCCTTTATTTTATACTCACCATATGTCTGTCTCTAGCTTGATCAACCAAACGTAGTTAAGGGGCCACAAATCTGCACTTACATCTTTCGCTAACGAACACTATCACTCTCTTTGTTGATAAGACGAGCCATGAAAACTAGGCAGTTCGTTATCTGCTTAAGTGAAACACGATTCAAGAAGACCACGGTGATAAAATTATACTAGTCGATTTGTAAAATTTGTCCAAAAACAAAGGGTAAAACACAAAAGACTAAGTACTGCTTTTAAAAATAGATAAAAAGAGACACTAGGTCACATACATTCACGTGTCTTTAATTGGGAGGACGAAAGTAAGCATAGGCTGCAAAAAAGGCTTGGAATATGGTAAGTAGAAGAAGTATCAAAGCAGCACAAGATGATAGAAATGTCCATGGAGTGTTGAAATGTGTGTACTTGAACCCTGCCCATTGTACATGGTAGCCTTGCGCACTGTACTTGTTCACTCCCTCAAACACTTTTGATAGATAACTCTTAGATATGCTGAATGAGATCTCTTTTCCGATGTTCTTGAAGAAGGAAGAAATTTGTTCACCCGTTCCGAAATAGTTCTCTATCATCCCGTTCTCGATCAAGAAGGTCGCGTCCTCTTCCTTGTTGATCAGGCAACCCATAAAAGTTACATAGCTTGTAATCTCGGTCGAGCATTTCATGTTAAACTGCTCAAACGCGACACAGTTGATCAAAAGAGAGCTGATAAAATCATCAAAGACTAGTAGTGGTATTTCAAGCAAACCGTTCTTGAAACCTATGTCTAACGGTGTATCCACATTCTCCCTCCGCTTGAATCTTATTCCTCGAAGACGAAGTTTTTTTGCTGAGACAATTAGCCCAAGAAAAGGTCGAGGAGGAGGTGATGATGATGTTTGCGCACCGTTTCTCTCCTTTGAACAGCATTTCATATCAAAACGAGTGTTTTTGGGTGTCTCTGTTCTTGAATTTGCCCTAGGACCGTTGGAAACATTAATGCAGCATTGCCCTTGGGTGGTTGGTAGAGACCAGATGGGTACGAAAGTCTTACGAATGAGATCAAGAAGATGTTTTGCTCGAAGATTGTTATGTTTCTCCCAAAACGCTTTTGGTTTTTTCACCGAATAGTTGAAGAATCTGAAGGCCAGCTTGTTTACGCTAGTGGATGGAGCTAACTTTGATGTCTTTAAAAGATCATTGAGAAGAAAGAGAGGAACCTGGTTTTCTAGAAGAAGAAGATCGCTTCGGAGAGTCGGTAGTATCCATCTCAGCTTGAAAATAGGGTCGTCGAACTTCGTGTATTCAACCTCTCTTGAAACCACAAGGAACAACAAAAGAATGAAACAACCATCAAGAATCATCATCTTGATCAGGCTTTGTTTATCAAAGTAAAGATTCTCGGAGTAGGAATCTCTTATCCTCTGTTCCAATCCCGAGACTGCATCGACTATGTGACTTAGATTGACGCCATTTTCATTGGTCTTTGACACGAAGAACTCAAAGTAACGTTTCTTGTGCTCCTCAATCATCTTGAGATGCTCATTGTCGTCACCTGAACGGTGATAAGGGCCTATTGAGACGATCTTGGGTTCATAGGCTGTGTTGTTGGCTCGCCCGAGAGTGTGAGGGATTCTGAAGATGCAACAAGATTTATCACCTGCTGATTCCTTCAGAAGGATTGGTGGGATCACTTTCTCTAAGAGCAAAGAAGCTATACCTTCTTCGTCCGATATCGTTTCACTTCTTACATTGGCTTGACTTGGAGAATCCATGGCTCTCTTTTTAGTAATTTGTTTTTTCTGTGTCAAATGGTTCAGTTGAACGGTAAAACAAAATGTTTGACGATTAACGTAAGAACATAAAACAATCTCTTGCTGTTATTATATTAATTCTGTTTTATTACGATATATATAAACTTACAAGTTACACATACGTATTATATTATTACGAAAGCCTTTCTCAGTCCAGCGGTTCACACATGGCATCATTAATGATAGTGTCAGATCTAGGCACGATTTTTACTGTGTCAATTTTTATTGACAAGTTTTATTATTATTAGTTGGGGTTTTAATATAAAAACCTCTCAACAAGTTTTATTATTATTAGTTGGGGTTTTAATGTAAAAACCTCTCAACTAAAGATGCTTCGTGTATAAATTTCTGAATTAAAAATTTAATGTAAAAATTCCTCAAGTAATTTTTATTTAATATATAAATTCTTCCGTTAAAATTATCATTAAAACTTGATTAATCGTTGTTAAATTAAAATTATGTGTTTAAATTCTGGAAAAAAACGACATAAACAACTGCAAGAAAACTCCTAAATTAATTTAAAACACGGATATTCACTCAAAGCTAAGGTTCTTCGTTTAAATAAGATTGAGAGCTCAGATATCTCATTCTACTCAATACTCAAACTCAATAGTTCATGATTTCATGGATTTTCTTTTTTTTAACACTTAAATAGTTAACTGTATTGTGTTCTTTCAGGCACACAAAAAAAAAAAACTATTGTTTTCGTTTTTTGGGTAGAAATCATTAAACTTTAATTTTGTGATTTTTATTTTACGATCATGTGTCATTGTCCCCATAACTATCATTGAGAAGAGACAGACACAAATCACGTTAATCTAGTCAACAAATCATTTGTAAATTGTAATATTCACACGTTTTAACTATTCCTCGTTCATAATTTGTATTTTATTGCATGATGTAGCCTTACCTAGCTAGCTAGGGTGGATAAATTATATGGGAGCCAAATTCCAAAATCGGATCTGATCCTTTCACAAAAATATAGTACTACGTTCTCGATTCCGGTTCAGATAATTCATGAGTCCGGATGATTTAGTTTTAAAAATGATAATATTTAAATCCAAATATATAAATAAATGAAATATTTGTATATTTAAAATAATTAGTAGAGGGGAATCTTAAAAATATCATATAAATAAAATTTAAATACAAAATTTTCAATATTTTGTAAGATATTCATAGCAAAAATATGTTATATATCGATTTTGAACCCATATAATATAATAATTCCTATTTAATTTTAGTTATCAAGATCGAATCGTTCTGTAAGATTAACAATTTAAAAAATATGTTAATAGCGATTCAATTACAAATATAAAAGCGATAATTAAAATCGAATAAAATGAATTAAAATAAAATAAAATATGAAATTAAAAATAACAAAACATAGTCAAGATTGAAATCTTTTTGTTTGACTTATATGACAGGTTTAATCACAATTCATGAGTCCCAAATACAACAGTTTAACCCTGAATCGCAACACTTGATATCAGATCTAATGAAATTAACTCAACAAATATTTTCGAAATTACTAATCTGATGCAATAAGAAATTGAAAGAACAATATGTTTGTTTTTGCTCTGTGTATTTAATCTCAGATTCAGGATTTTTGGATGATAAAAAAGAGATGTTTATGACTTGTATATATATTTATGACTTGTATATATAAGGTATATACTATTTGAAAATATTTTAAGTTTCCAATATGAGACTTTGTTAATTTTCCACAAAAAAATTATAGCCCATAAAAATATTTCATTTGTATAGCCTAAAATATATTCTTTATTTACATTGAACATAACAATGTCTTTATTAATTTTTTTTTCCAACACGTTCTACCTAGTACATGTTCCCATGAGCGTTGACGTTCTAACTACATGCATTAATCTCAACTCGTATAAAAGCAAGTTTTTTTATCGTTCTCTCACAGACAAGAAAAAAAAAAAAAAAAAGATGATGCAGTTTTTAGTCCTGGGAGTTTTCATCCTCGGAGCAATTCTTCTTCTTATACTCGTACTCCGCGAGTTGTATTATGAGGCCGCCAAGGGAAGTGAGTTTATCTCTTTGGTTAATGCGATTTTTAATTAGTAAATCAATGACACAAATAATTTACAGTGAAACCCGAATCTTTTTTTTTTCAGAAAAGGCATTGGACGAAGAGGAAGGCCCTCTAATCCCGAGAATTTCATATTACCATGACAATCCATCGGACGAAAAGGAAGAGGAAACCAGTGTACCTTGTGCTAGCCCTCAGTGTATTCAGAATTTGGATATCAGTCGCCTTCAACTTCAACAAGCTTCCGCCACAGGGATTATTCACATTAGCAAAACGAAAATTATGTGTTCTGAAACTACACCAAAAAATGGATTCTACGCAGGAGACGAGTTTGACTTGGGAGGAGTACAGAAGGATAGCGATTCAGATTAGAATGCATGTGAATTGTTTCTATATACAAAAAATTTGTTTATCTCTTTTGATACCTTTAGTTTGGTTTTTTCCTATTTTATAAAAAGGGACACGTAAAAGGTTTGTACACTAATTGGCGACTTCAATATTTTCTAAACCAAAATGGAAAATTGTCAGAATCCGAATTTGTATGCTTCGTATTTTCGGTTTTATATCTTTCATATAAAACGCTTCCTGTAAAAAATAGATACATTAATTGAATCTTCTCAAATATTATGGACAACGAAATTAAAGGTATAAATTCATAAACACATGGTAAAAAATGTTTTTACTTTTTATTTTTCCAATTTCCTCAGCGATATACTAACGTCATGCATACTTGCAAATTTCAAATACTCTTAGCTAGCGCAATCCAAAGTCAAACGGATCATGTACATGTACACTTTCACTGCCAGATTATAAATGCATAAACCGGTTTAAGTGATCAGAATAAAAATAATTGCAGTTCATCAATTATGATTAGACTGTTTTCTTAAACACAAAACAAATACAGCTTTTAATGATATTTATATCAATATTAGCATTTTTTTAGAGAAGAAGGTCGAAGGTTTGGTAAGTATTTTTTTTTTCTGCTTTTGTCATTAGCACTTAAACTAGGTTATACGTTATAATATTTTCACGATTAGTACTGTAAGAGCATCTTTAATGAGGGTATCTCAATAAAGTATTAATAAAAAAATTAAAAGAAAAAAAGAGAGACAAAAGTATCTCAAAATTTCTCAAATAAAATATCTTTAGATACCCATTCTCACACTTGTTCTTCTATTATTGGCTCAATTTATTTTTACAAAAAAAAATTAATTTTATAAAAAAATTATAACTCTTTGATAAGTGCAGGTAACTTGGTGAATGTTGTGGTCCCGCGACCTAACCGGAAACATTATCACACACCAGGAATTGAAAAGGTTTATTAAACATTTAAAAAAAAATACACATTCATAAATAAATACAGCTTCTAGTGGATGATGCGTCGATTGCTAGATTGGGGATGAATCTAGTCAAAGAACACGCTTACAATAATAGTTTGCGAAATCCTTACATTGAAGAGATAAAAATATCTTCAAGAACCTTATCTTTGTCTCTGAAAAACCTCGTTTACACTCGACAAGCAATAGTCTGTTAAAATTCAGGAAAATGTCTAAAGGATGTTGTTTCAACATCATATATGTTTCAGGAAGAAGCCGAGTAGAAAACAACACAAAACAGTGAGAGCAGAGGATGTGGTTGAGCCGGTAGCACTAAAAGATGATGAAGAAGAAAGCCCGAAAAAGAAGACGAACAACCTGAATATCTCTCCACTAATGCCGGTTTTAATGAAAAACTTGAGAGTAGTGATTCTTCTTCATCGTTGAAAAATGAGTTTAACAAAGTGAAGACTTTTGATTTACGAGGAGTGAAAAAAACAAAGGAGAAGTAAGGAAGAGGATGGTACTTGAGATGTGTAATATTGATCATGTTCCAAAATAGTTCAAGCTCTAGCTTGCTTTTTTATTCGATAATATAAGTAATTTTGTGTTGAGCCACTGATCCCTACTTTTATGTACCTGATTACATGATTCTCTATGCCTATATATTAAGGTTTTAAATGAAATTAGATATAATTTTAATAACAGCCCTGTTCGTAGGGATGATGCTGCCACAATAACTGCGTTAAAAAATTACAGTATTAATAATGATATAAAAAAGCTTTCACTTCTTTTTGATCTTTGCTGCTGCATGCGGCTCACTTTCTTCAGAAAATCAATATCATTCATAACGCTGATAGAAAACAACGGCAGTTAGAGTAATCAGCGTCTACCATCTTTACCATTCATCGACTACAGCAGTTATTTGAAACTCTTAAATCTAATGTTGTTGTCGTTTGCTTTATTACTCCATAGCTGTCATTTTTGCTTACCCAACCGCCGCCGTAGTAGAGAAAAGAACAGGGCTAACAAAGCATAACATCATGATTCAGTGATTCACATAAAACTATTGAAAAGACTTAGAACTCATGAAAATTCAAATCTTTTCAAATGTATATAATTTTTTTTTTTGGGATCATACTCAGTTTTTGGTTGATCGGATAAGATTCTGATGGCACTGGAGAAACATTTGACGATTATTTAGCAGGATCACAACTTGAAACCTATCCGTTGTCAGCCATTGAATCGTCAAGCTACTACATCTTTCGATTTGAGTTTTACTGGACCGATAGTGAAATGTGGGGAAAGAGTGGTTGGAGCTAGAAGTGGACGTGACTATCTTTTGATCCACCATGCTTTTGTCCTACTGACCAAAGCCCACCATCTCCACTTTTGTCTTAAATCTTAATGAAATATATAAACTACATGAAAAAGAGAGGAGACCTGTTTTGACCCCAAAACAAAAAAGAGGGAGAGAGGAGAATTGCCCAAAAAGGATCTTATATTTTTTTAATGATCAGACTTTTTTCAGGATAAGATTTATTTTCTGACTAAGCAAGTTGTTAGTTATATAGTTTTTAAAACTAGATTTCGTGGTCAGCTAGTCTATTTTTCCTTTTAAATTAGAAAATACGCAACAAAATAAATAGTGGACCGAGACTCGAGAGAGCATTCTTCCAAATTGGGTGACGACATGCTCGTAGTTCCTTAGATTGAGCGAGGCACCCAAAGATAATATTATTCCTTTGTACCTAAGACTAAAATTACGAGAATCATACGAACAAAAGACAGTTATAACTATTTGACAGCAGTAATTTGGCCGAATCATACCCAACGTTAGCCAAATATTTTCGTATATACATTACATTTTCTTTAACAACAACAAATGATTTGTTACAAATCTCACGTCATATATTCTACTTGTGCTCGACAGAAACTACTCAACCAGTATTCAGTAACATACATACTCGCAACTCTCAACTATCAGTTCTCGTAAAAAGGAAACCTTCTTTAATACTCGTAGCTGGAAATTCTAGCGCCATCCAAAGTCAAACTGATCATAAAAATCCCACAAATTTAAGTTTTCCACTAACAGATCTGAATCAAACATGTCACTTTCACTGCCAGATGACGACGGAGGAGCATAACTAGAACCTGACGGTGGTGATTGATTAATCTCTTCAATCACATGTTGACAATCTTGATCATCACCGGTTATCTCACGGCACTGATCAACTGTTTCTTTGTTTATGATGTCTTCTTCATGCTTAACCGATAAGGAGAAACCGCTTGAGTGGCTTTCCTTCTCCTGATCGATATCTTCTCCGAATCGGATCATCCGGGCACTTTCCAAATCATTGACCGGATCTCGAACGGCAGTGAAAATAGCATCTTGATTTTGATTGACTTTGCAAGTGTGGTGACCGAAATAAGTGGTTCGGTAAACCGGAGGATTGTCTTTGATCTTCTGTTCATGCTTTCTTGCTCCGCAAGCATGATCTATGTTGTAAGAACATCTATAGTAGCTCCTGTATCAACATTAATGCATAAATTGGTGTTAGTGATGAAAACAAAAATAATTACAGTTAATCAAATATAATTTGACTATTGCCAAATATTACCTTTGGTGATCAGATTTTTTTATAGACTTTTGGCCGTATTTCCTCCAAAGAAACCCGTCGTGGTACATCGGATCCGGTGAATCGTTCTTCCATTTCTCACTTGAATTTGTGCTACTAATCTTTCTGAAAATATGGTGTTACCAAAATATTAGAATACAAATCAAGACATACCCCATTATATTTGTTAGCTAGTCACGCATTTAACTAGGTGATGGCATTGCGTTTATGATCAAGAAAATATATAATTTAACAAATATCAAAAGTTGTAGTATATTATTTGAAACAGGAAGTTGGCAACAAAAAATCCCTTGAATAAAAAGACTCTAAAAATCAAATGAAAAGCAAGAAAAATAAATGTTAGTTATCAATACCTTTTCTTGGAGTGGCTTCTCTGGGAAGCAGGAGGAGGGGGAGGAGGAGGAGGAGGAGGAGGAGACGAGTCCCTTGAAGATAAATCAGAAAATTGATCATCCTCAGTGTTTGGTTTATCGGATAAGATTGCGATGGCATTGGAAAAACAGTTAACGATCGATTTAGCAAGATCATAACTTGAAACCGATCCGTTTTCAGCCATTGGATCGCCAAGTTGCACCTTCAACCGCATGGCACAGCTATGGCCATAAATGATAGCTTGCACCGCCTTTTCGTGAGGAGAATTCATTTTAATAGAGTAGAGTGTGCTTGTTTATATATGTCTCGTAGCTGTTTTCTCTCTCAAGGATCTATGCTATAAGTTTTGAATGGATAGGGAGATCATACATATATAGGGTAAGTGACACACACTACCAAATGAGTGGAAATAGAGAAATAAATATCTATAGGAATGCATTAAGAAATTACAACATGCTACCCATTAGTTTAACCATATGAATGCAATAAAACCAGTCTGACTTTGCCAATTATAGACCAAGTTTAAATTTCCCAATCAAGATAAATATACATATATTACATACACTAGGGTATGTATAAATGTAAAATAGAAAACTTAGAATAAGGACGTAGGACATGTGCTCGGCTCCACCTGTGGGGAATAGCTAGATAAAGAGAAATAGAAAGGAAAACAATTAGGTGTTGACTTTATAATATGATCTGTCATGTATAGAAAACAAAGTTTGTAGTATTATATACTTTCGCAGCTTCGATGACACTTACTTATTATAGAGATATTTTTTTGGCTAAGTCTGTTGGTATTTACTTAATGAGCTGTCATGTGTAAACGACAAGACGAATCTAGCAGGAAAGCCTGAAGGTTTGAGAGACTTCAGCGTTAGGAGTAAACCGGAAATTTATGGTTTGAAAATCCTCTATTATTCTCACTCCGTTTCTTTAAGGACGTTTTAAAGATGTGGCCAGTTTTATTCTGCATTTGCCTAACATTACATGTCACGTATATACGTATATTTGAGTGACAAAGAGTAAAATAGGCTCTAACGAAAAAAAATGAAATAAAAACAGGCATTGTTCATTTTACAAATTTTACTGTCATTTACATGCATATGATCGATTTTCATTGTTACGTAGTGTTGTACTAGACTAGTACGTAGTAGTACTCTGATAGTACTCCATTTTTTCATTATTTTTTAATCGAAAATGTAACACTCCAGTAAAAAATGTAAAGGAAATGTAAAATGTAGGGCTTCCAAATACAAAACAAAAAAATATATATAATAATTGCCACGTAGCTGGCAAGTGGCGAGAGGCGACCATTGCACCAATGAAAACGCCGCTAGTTTCGTCGGCCATCGACGTTAGCAAACATGACGTAGTCTTCACCGAAGATGCTGACATCAGGTAGGATGACGTCAGAAAATCGAAGAACTAGTCAACCGTGCGGTGGGATTCATTCGTTGGCTACTCGGTCCCTATCTTTTATTTGTTTTAATCATCGTCTTTGAAACATTAAAACTTAATACTAAGTAAATGGTAAGTTTTTTATAAAAATGTAATTTTAATTTTAGAGAAAACTATTTAACATACTTAAATTTATTTTAAATATAAAGTCAACGTCGGCAAACAAATCAACCCATAATTCTTTACTTTTTTGACGTCAGCAAACCAATTCAAATGATACAATCTGATTTCTTAAGTAATAAATGGCCATTCCAAATTGTACGATCCTAAAAATTTGTTCCTTATAAGTTTGTGTTCATCCATGGAAATAGAATGATAAGTTACTATCAGTTACAATATTTCACAATCCTAGTTTCTTACAATTAATAAGCAACTCTTTGAAGGTTTAATTAGGCGAACGTCTTGAACTTGAATTTTTTTTTTTTTTTTAAATTCTTCAACTTGAACTATCCAATGAAAGGTTTAAGGCATCTTGAAGTATGCGGGTGAATAATGTTTTTTTTTTAAAAAAGTTTAATTGATTTATCCATAGAAGAGCGATATTATATACTTTCGTATGTGACGTTGATCTTATCTGTGAAACTCGTTGCCCACATGTATTTTATGCTTGTGATGTCGATTAGCTATTTTTTATTCTTTGATTATTTTCGCTAAATTTGATTGGAAGTTGCTCTGGTATATACTAAATATAATAGAACATGATTCATTAATATTTTGATAAATTGATATTTTTCATCAGTTTCAAAATTAATTTATTATTAAAGGGGGAATTGCTGAATATGACTCAAAACTTGAGTTAAAATACAAAACTAGATCCCATATTGCATGTTTGACAAAAATAACTTATAGGGATAGTGAAATTATAATTTTAACCCTTATGACCAAACAAAAAAACGCCAACCTCAATTACTATTTTATCCCAGAGAAGTCTACTCGAGAAATTAAATAGACTTCTCGAGTAGACTTCTCCAAGAAGTCTACTCTTTAATAATATATTTACAATTAATTTTAAAAATCATAAAAGATAATTTGATAAAAAAATTAGATACATAACAACAAATATATACTTTTTTACACCTATTAAAAATAAAATTTGACAGAAAATAATCAATTTAAATCATCATAGATAAATTATGATAAAAATCAATACTAAGAAACTTCTCGAGTAGACTTCTCGGTTTCTCGAGTAGACTTCTCGAGTAGACTTCTTGGAGAAGTCTACTTACACGAATTTTTTTCTACATATATAAGGAGAGTTTAACCTAATTGTATTAACAATAAAGTCTCTCTCTATCTAAAAAACTGCCTCTCTCTCTTCTCCCTTCTATCTGGCCATGAATTTCTTCTCCTTCCTCTCTTGCTATCAATATCATCTCCATCCTCTCTATCTTGCATTCAACCTCCTCTCACTTGCAGGTTATGGTAGTGGTAAACAAATCTGAGCTTTTGTGTTCCTCTTTTTGTTTTCTTTGTGTTCATATTACAAATCTGAGCTTATTATTATAGATTTGAGCTTATTGTTGTAGATCTAAGTTTATTTTTGTGGATATGAGTTTATTGTTGTATAAATTTTGTAGATTTTGTTAATTTTTTGCTATTATTGCAAAGCTGAATTTTGTTGATTTTTGTACAGATCTGAATGTTATAAATATAGTAGATTATTATTATAGATCCGAGTTTATTAGTTTAAATTTGAGCTTATTGTTGTAGATTTAAGTTTATATTTGTAGATCTGAGTTTATTGTTGTATAAATTTATTAGATTTTGTTCTAGATCTAAATTTTTCGCTATTGTTACGGAGCTGAATTTTGTTGATTTTTTCTGCAGATCTGAATGTAGACTTTTCGAGTAGACTTCTCGATCTCGAGCGGACTTCTCGAGTAGACTTCTCGATCTTGAGCAGACTTCTCGAGTAGACTTCTCGATCTTGAGCAGATTTCTCAAGTAGACTTCAGTTGCATACATAATTTTCAGAGATTTTAGTTTACTAGTAATTTCTTATGCCAGTTTTAAGATTTATAACTAGTGATCATTAAATGTTTGTTTGTTTAGAGGGTTATTTTCTATGTAATGTTGAATTGCATTGAATGTTTTGTATCAAATTCCTAAATTATCTATGTTTATCTATTCTACAAAATAGACTTCTCCTGTCTCGAGTAGACTTCTTAAAGACATTAACTTTACATAACTTATAAGTGATTCAGAGAGACATTTCTCCCATTTATATCATATAACTTGTCAACCGAGTAGACTTCTCTTGTCTCGAGTAGACTTCTCCTGTCTCGAGTAGACTTCTTATGTCTCGAGTAGACTTCTAAAAGACATTAATTTTACATAACTTAAAAGTGATTCAGAGGGACATTTCTCTCATTTATATCATATAACTTGTCAACCGAGTAGACTTCTCTTGTCTCGAGTAGACTTCTGAAGTAGACTTCTCATTGTCTCGAGTAGACTTCTTAAAGACATTAATTTTACATAACTTAAAGGTGACAACATCCGCCCTCCTTTGCCAACATTCACCAAGAAGCTCACCATGTGTGCAACCATCTCTTAAGAGCAACATTTGCCCTCCTTTGCTATTATCCACCTCGAACTGCCACACTGATTCACTCTTAACCCATTCTCCATAAACAGCGGGTAAGTGAGTCATTCTCTGTGAAAAAGAACAAAATCCAAACCACATTAGACATCAAAATTGCATAAGTAGACTTCTCTGAAAGTCGGATGAAGTCTACATAGTAGACTTCTAGAGTAGACTAAGAAGTCTACTCTTAATAAGCTAAGTATCATATAAAACATGAAAACTCATTCGACTATACTTATAAAATATAAACATGCAAAACTTATACATAAGCAAGAAAACTTAATAACAGAAGCTTAGGATCGCGAAAATCTTAAAAATTCGTTATATATTGTATAAAAATGATTTTTTAAAAAAAACGAGAAAAGTAGACTTCTCGGATAAAAGTAGACTTCTCGCAGGTTATTTTTGCAATTGCCAAAATATTAGTAGACTTCTCTATGAAAAGTAGACTTCTCCGAGAAGTCTACTTTCGTAAGTAGACTTCTCGCAGGTCATTTTTGCAATTGACCAAAAAGTCAAATATTTTTCAATTGCAAAAATGACCTGCGAGAAGTCTACTTACAGAAGTAGACTTCTCGGAGAAGTCTACTTTTCAGAGTAGACTTCTCCGAGAAGTCTACTTTCGCAAGTAGACTTCTCGTAGGTCATTTTTGCAATTGAGCAAAAATTCAAATATTTTTCAATTGCAAAAATGACCTGCGAGAAGTCTACTTACGAAAGTAGACTTCTCGGAGAAGTCTACTTTGCATAGAGAAGTCTACTCTACAAAGTCAAAGGTTGGTCAATTGCAAAAATAACCTGCTTCTAAAGAAGTCTACTCGAGAAGTCTACTCTATTTTTTTTGTTATCAAAGGAAATGGAGTAGACTTCATTCGGACCAAAAGAAGTCTATTTTTTCATGCGGTCAATTGCAAAACTAACCTGTGCGTTGACTAGTAGACTTCATTCGGACCAAGAGAAGTCTACTTTCGGAGTATTTTCGTAAATAAGTGAGGAAGATGGGGATTAGTTGGTCATTTGGATTTCTGAAAATAAAAGAAATTAATTAAAAATAATGGCAATTTCGTAAATAACTGAAACTATGAAGGATTGTTTGGACACAAAATGGCAAATGTTGGGAAGGTGATTTTTATGGATTAGATTTGCAATTCAAATCAAATTTTAGGTCATTTTTGCAAGAATCCCATTATTAAATTGTGTATTTTTAAATTAATAATTGCTATAAATTAATAACTTTTATAAATCTTTAAAATTCTAACATTATTAATTTATATAAATTTTACTGGTACTGAGAAAAGGCTTATAATGAAAAAGTCAAGCAAAGCTATGGGTCAAGTCATATTATTTTATGTTGCCAACGTGTGTGAGTGTGAATGTGAATGTGATCACGACTTCCATGACAATTATTGAGATAACATTAAATTTTAAATGAATTTTTTTTATCAGATATAACAAACCAGGTGGTTGGAACGTAGTTTCCATGTCTTGTTTATCTTCACGACGACTTCAACCACATTTCCTTAAAATTAAACTTTTTTAAGACTTCTAAATTCAAGATAATTTTACTTTGGATTCGTGCTCGCAGCTTTAATCAAATGAATACCTCTGACGAGCTGAGTTTTCCTAGCAAGAAGAAAACACCGATCGTGTTAATTTGCTCGCGATCTTACATCGACCATGCCATTTTTTCGAGGTGGCCTGGCCGGCTTGTGCGACCATCGCTTAACAATGGAAACGGCGGAAACAATAATCAATCCAAGCTATACAGACAGTTCATTGCTTTGTCTTGTTTAATTAAGCATGGGATTAATTAGTCCAAAACGACGGAAACCATAATAATTCTAATCGCTATATTTTCTCTAATAATAGGGAAAGGCCGTTTGATATGCTTGATCTTTCGTTGTCATCGGGGAATAGATTTTTAAGTGAAATTAACGGGCTAATCGTTTCCTTGAATTAATATTACCTTTCATTTTTAATGTATTTCCTCGATTGGTCGTGTGCATGTATCTTACCGCATTTTGAGATTTCACATGTTCGAGTTGCCTTCTTTCAACTACCAAATTCTGGATTTATATTTTATAAAACATATCATTTTGTCCAAACCTGCATGGCCTGACTTCAGCAATAAATAGAAGTAAGATATTTTTCGTCGAGTTTGAATATTTGATGGTTTTTAAAATTTAAGTCATATGCGCGGAAATATGACAAACATAACTAGCATACGTTAAAACGGTTGAGAAATCAAGCTTGCTAGCGATAAAGGTAAACAACCGGATATTAATTTGTAATCACAATTCACAACTACTGTAATTGAAAAGTTTGTGAAATTCATCCAAAATAAATGTATAATTATGTGGTCAGATTTCTTTATAAAATAGTTTACAAACTATACAAAGATATTGCAAAACATATTTAAAGAAAAAATTTTAAAATACTTATCTCCGCATTATTTTAAATTTAAAAGTTTAAAATCATGTAACTGTAGTTTGAATCGTAGGGAATATGATATAAATATATATAGGTACATCATGTGAAAATATATTATAAATTTAATATATTAGTAAAATATAAAGCTAGACAGTGTATACAGAGTTAATCATATAAACATGTTAATTTAGAAGCAAAAATATTAAATATCTAAGCTAGATCCCGAAATTGGTTAAAAGTTTAGTTAGTTGATCATATAAAAAATGGTGGGTGGGTTTTGTATTTCTAGACTTGGCCGTCTTTGAGGATTATGACGACCTTTTAGATAGCAATCCAATTAGTAAAGCAAAACAAAAAGGAGGAGCAAAACAATTTGAAAACGAAAAACTAATGGGCCGAAAGGGATATGTGTCACATTAAGTAAGAAAAGCCCAACAAAAGAAAGCTTGGCTTTTTAACGAGAACATTAATCAGCTCAACGCATGGTTCAGGTAGCTTTCTAGCTTATCCAATAGCATTGATCCAAAGCACAACACTACCTGAGTACTTGCGATCACCTTTTAATAATTTCTCCTCTGACTATATATATATATTCCCTCCTTGATGTAACAATCTATTCAAACATTTCCCTTTGTAACATTTATTTGTTCAATATATATTGGCAAAAACGTTTAAACAGTGTTCAAATCTTTTATAAACGAAAGAAACCCGTGTAGCACTTAACAAGATCTGATTGAATTTCCGTTTGGAAGCCGAGGTTTTGACCGATAATACATAAATGATAAAAAGCAACATGTGTTAACGCATGTTTAGCATTCTATATTAAAAACATTGGAAAATCGTTTTCTTGACATCGAAAAAATGTCAAAAACCTAAGGTGCAAAGAAACTATAAATTATATTTAGCACATGGTAATCCGTACTATAAAACATTCACTAGCTCACTTAAGCTAATATGCATCATGAGGTAAAACATACACGTAGAAGATAAAAAAAAAGTGAAGCTAAGAGACTTGGGTAAAATGTGACAAATCTTAGCCATAGAGAATTTTTTTTTTTAGATAAATAAATTTTGAACTAGACATTCCATATGAAAGCTACTCCATATTTTGATATATTGTTTCTCTTAAAATAGTACCAATAAATGTTAGGCAACAGGTCGATATGATGTCATTTTCAGTGGGAATTGATTTAAGAGCATGACCACATGCTGCTTTAATCATTGCTTTATGAAGGAAATAATGAAGAAAATACAATTGGTGGGTCCAAGTTTCATGTGACTTGAGAAGAAGAAGAAAAAAAGCGTAAGAAGGATTATAGCAAAATGGTATGGCTGAATCAAACTTTATTGTTAAAGGGGTTCACAAAAGACATCAAGCTGACACAAATCCATGCACTATGTTTCTCTTTCCATTGGATTTTCAATTCTTCTCAGATCTTGTTCCCAAAAAAGAAAAGAACTTTGTTACCTTTTACTAGGTTGAGTGATTACGATATTCAAATCCAAGTTGAAATGGGAGAAATTACCAATCCTACCGAATCCGCTTTGGTATGATTTTGATTTTGGTTTGGTATTATATTTTGCATATACTGTATACATTTCGATTCTGTTTTGTTCATCTCAGACTGAGATAAAATCTTTTCAAATCCAAATTTGAAAATGTTCAGTTTATCCGATCTTATGGCCAATCCTATTTTTTTTTTTTTTTTTTGGTGTGGATTTCATCTCTTATCAATATTAATTACTTTTCGAATAGTTTATTTTATTTGCCTCGAGAAGTATATATATGTCTTTCTTGTTCTGACCGGCTAATGGAATTGTAATAAAAATAACTCAAGTTGATTTGGAAAATTTAAAGCTTAATGTGGCTCGGTTGATGGTACTGGCATAAAAATATGGCATGTTTTCTCAAGAATCCCAAATACGTTTTTTTGCTATTAGTTTTCGCCTACCCATCATAGATTGATAATATAATCTTATAGAGTTGATCAAATGCATGCATGTAGATCAGTATATGGAGAAAATTACAAACAAACAAAAATGTGTGGTTATTTTTCGTTCTCGTGGGTAACCCATTTGTAGGGCATCTCAAATGAGACTTGAGAGTACCAGAAGGGATCATTTCTCGTAATCAGATACATACTACAAGAAAATAACATCACCACGACCAATATGTAATGTCGTTTAATCTTGAATATGTTTCCAAATAAAAAATAACATTATATGGCAATAGACAACGATGGAACCTCAACCAACCGATCACGCGCTCTTTTGTCACCATCGTTGAGAAAGGTTAACATACTATTATTGAGTGTTGTTGTCACAAATGGTACGTAAGAAATTATGATAAGATTATATTGAGAAGGGACTACTGTATATCCAAAGTATCTGAATATCAAGGAAAACTCGATTAAAAAATTGGTTTTGTATAAGTTAAAAAACCAAACGTGAAGTTTAATAAGAAAGCTTTCATTTTTCAAATTAAAAAAAAAACTGTTGTTTATTAAATGATGTTCCTCTTCACATGTATAAATTAAGGAGATAGTAATTTTTTTCCTTTTTAATTTGTAAGTGTGATACTGTATACTGTTAAATGATGTTCCTCTTCACATGTATACTGTTCACCACCAATATTTTTTTTTATAAAAGTTACTGTTCACCACCAATATTTTTTTTTATAAAAAAGTTATATAGATTAGTCAATATTACATTTATATTACTCAAGGAAGAAAAAGTTCCCAGAAAATCGTTCTATATATTTGTGTGGTACGCCCTAGGTAGCTAGTGCGGCTATGCATCACAGCTAAACAAGTTATCTTTTTTTAGGTGAATGCGCGAACACATGCATTGGACCAAACGCGCCTAACGTCAAAACAATCAGATATTCGTACTATATGTTCGAAATACAAATTATAACCTGACAAAAACATGCAAGTTGTTCGAAGACCAGTTTGAAAAAACAAACAAAGAAAAATGTTTTATTGCAGAGACAAATAGTCATATAGGTAATGTCAGAAGGATTGTACATTGAAATCTAGCACAGCAAATAAAAAGCATTATTGTTCACACACATGCACACAGAAACACACACACGTGTACATTCACACGTACGCGTTCACACGTGCACATATCCCCATAGGACTCTCCACCTTTTATATAAGAAGCTTCAAACATAGGTGCATGTATGTAAGTGTGTGAAGCTAAAGGATCGTACTTAAATATTAATGGCGACTTCAGGGTTTAAGCATTTGGTGGTTGTGAAGTTTAAGGAAGATACAAAGGTTGATGAGATCTTGAAGGGCTTGGAAAATCTTGTTTCTCAAATTGATTCTGTCAAATCCTTTGAATGGTTCGTCATTTATTTTATTCTTTTTCAAGTTATTAAAACATATTCTTTTGGGAACTGTATAGCTAATTCACGACCGTACGTTTTGATGATAATTAGGGGAGAAGATAAAGAGAGTCACGAGATGCTTAGACAAGGATTCACTCACGCATTTTCGATGACCTTCGAGAACAAAGATGCTTACGTTTCTTTCACCAGCCATCCTCTTCACGTTGAGTTCTCAACCGCCTTCACCGCCGCTATCGAGAAGATCGTGCTCCTGGATTTCACCGTCGCCGCCGTCAAATCTCCCGTTGAAGCATCACCATGATTATATCAAACTTGTTTCTTGATTAAATCTCTTTCTATATATAACCGAGAACCGAGGTTTAAGTTGTTTCGGTTATGTAACTCGGTTGGTTAAGTATGTGTTTGGTTTGATTCGTATTATTTCCGGTTTTTGCTAATAAGAACCTGGTTTGGTTGGGAACTTGGATATTTGTGATCTTTTGCTTAAGTGCGTATTTTGCTTTCAGTGAAAAAGTTGTGTTGAGTGGAGTTTTCATGTAAGTAAGAATTGCTAACTACACTGCATATTAGAGTTTGATTACTGAACTAAACTATCAACTATACAGTACATGTTTTGTTTGTAATCGTAGAAACCGAAAAAGAAAATTAATATTGGCTAAAATAATTACTTAGTTAGTAATATTTATTTTTATTTTTTTGGTCAGCAGTAAATTTTAATTTAAAAAGCATCTACAACAGAAAAAGTTAATGGGCCTTTTGGCCCAAGTAAAAAGAACGAAAGCTTGAAAATTAAGACAACAGAGTGTGTGTCGATAGTTATTAGTCTGAAATTTTGCTTTTTGAGAAATTCGGACGCGACGCTTCGTCTCTCAGTCTCTGCCGAAGGATCTTCCAACACACAAAACCCTAAACCCATCAGGTGATTTCACCTTCTTCGTTCCTTCCTGAATTAGAAACCTTTTTTGGACTTTATTAGTGTTGATCGTTGAACAGTAACCTGTCTTAGTGTAGGATTTGATCGTGGTGGTAATCGTGTTTTTCATTTTGATTGGGAAAGCTTGGCGCGTTTCATTGATGCCCCTAGACTTAAGTATTTGCATTTCGACCAAGAACTCTCGCCGGGTAAAACCATAAGCAATTTGGTTTCTTTAGTTAAGGTCAGTTTTGTCGACGTCGTTCCTATTACAGATTCTTATGAAGACTTTAGCTTATCAGAGCTACAAATGGTCCGTGATTTTTTCAACGGTATCTCGAGAGTTAAGGATATGGTCATCTCTGAACACATGATGAAGGTATCTTTCTATGAAGTTCATCTACATATATATATAACTAATTTGTGCTCACCCATAGTCTTGTCTTCTTTTCTTTTTGTGGTACACAGTTAATCTATTCCTACATGAAAGTAGAATCATTTCCCCAGTTTTGCAACCTGACCAGTTTGGAAGCACAAGTTTGTGACATCGTGGAGATCTTGCCTACGTTTCTTGAAAGCTTTCCGAATCTAAAATCAATCGTCTTGGTACCTTGAGAGTTTTAACTTAATTATGCATTTAGAGAAACGTGTTATCTATATAGTATAGTAGTTAATTCATTAATCTTATGTGTTTTTGTAGGATGTAATTTATGTCGACACGCCTCCAATAACAGTCTCGTCCGTGCCTCAGTGTTTGTTGTCATCGCTCGAGTTTGTTGAGATAAAAAGCAGATATGAGGCAGAGTTTGTTTTGATGGAACTAGCAAGGTACTTTGCAGAAAACTCTGTAATCCTCAAGAAAATCGTTCTGCGTTGGAATCGTTCTATGCTAGAAGAAGATTCCGTCTTAAGGGATCTCCTTGCATTGCCCTGGCGATCTAGCACTTGTGAAATCGAAGTTTGTGGACCGCTAAAAAGACTTGTAGGTGTTTCTTAGACTTAGTATGGAATTTGATTTTGTGGAACTCTATTGTAGTATATGTTATTTTGAGGTTTGGCTACAGTGTATTAGCGTTTAGGATTCCAAACTGTTTTTATGTAATAATATCCCACAGAGCTCTGAAACCGCTTCTTTGTTTAACGAATGACCAATTAATTATTCAAGTGTTCAATCTGAGCTTCAGTTTGGTAGATGAGAATGATCAGTCTTGTCTCAAATGCTGGATAGATTTTGTGGCTACCCGTAAAGTTAAGCATCTTGACGTTGAGTGTCTTCTTGTGAAGCGTGAGTGTTTCGAAGTGATGCCCTTTAGCCTCTATATCTGTGAGACACTCCTTCACTTAAGACTCCATCGGGTATTTTTGGGTGGTTTTGACTCTGCTGTTTCTTTACCTCGTCTCAAGACTATGTCTCTAGAACAAAATCTATATGCCAACGAGGCATGTCTAGAGTCGCTTATCTCGTCTTGCCCTGTTCTCGAAGATTTGATCATAGCTAGATGTGTCAATGATAATGTAAAGGTTTTACGTGTGCATTCTCAGACAATAACCAGTCTCACTGTAGGGTTTGACATTGGTGAGAGTCGTATGCCGTTTTTTTATTTTGATAGAGAGATCTTGGGGCTTTTCATTGATGCCCCTAGACTCAAGTATTTGAATTTCAATGATGATGTATCAAAGTGTCAAATGGTAAGCGATTTGAGTCCCTTAGTCAAGATCAATCTTGGTGGCGTCCGTTATATGTCCTATTTCTCTGATGGCATTCGCTGCTCGGATCAACAAATCGTCCGCAATTTTTTCACTGGTATCTCGAGAGTTAGGGATCTTGTCATCTCTGAGAATATTATGAAGGTATGTTTCTATACAATTTACATATTGCTGCTACTTCGCCAATTTTTTCTTACATAAAGTCTTCTCTTGTTGTCTTTGATGTCATGTAAGCAGCTAGTTTCTTCCTGCTTGAAAGTAGAACCATTGCTTCAGTTTTGCGAGCTGTTCCGTTTGGAAGCAAAAGTTTGTTTAGTAGACGTGGGAATCCTGATAACGCTTCTTGAAAGCTGCCCGAATCTAAAATCTATCGTCTTGGTGATGACTTGCACCAACCTAGAGTTTTAACTTTTAACCTAATTATGCATTTAAAGAAATGTGTTATATCTAGTGTATATATTTTCACTCATCTTATGTATTTGTTGTAGGAGGTAACTCGTCCTGCGATCATCGATACGGATCAAATAGTAGCCTGGTCCGTGGCTCAGTGTTTGTTGTCATCACTCGAGTATGTAGAGATAAAATGCTGTTGCAAGGCAGAGGGTGTTGTAATGAAACTAGCGAGGTTCTTTGCGGAAAACTCAGTAATCCTCAAGAAGCTTGTTCTGCGTTGGAGAGGTTATGTGCTTGAAGAAGATTCTGTCTTAAGAAATCTCCTTGCATTCTCGTGGCGATCTAGCACTTATGAAATCGAAGTTTGTGGACCGCTAAAAAGACTTGTAGGAGGTTCCTAGATATTTGGACTTGAATATATTATTGAGTTTTATGATGTCATTGTGTGAGCTTTTGGGCCACTATGTTGTAAGATTCTTTTCTTTTTTTGTTCGACCTAGTATGTTTTAAAGATTCTAAACTGTTTTTTGTTTTTTTTTTGTTCGTGTAACAAATATATTATTGAAACGTCGCCGCCATCAAAAACTCCTACACTTGAGACGGTGAGTACTTTCGACGATCCTCCACCTGAGAATCGTGAAGCTTGAGGAGACAGAAGAACCAATGCGCATAAACCCTGATAGCACTCTGTCATTGCTTCTCAGAAGAATTAATTTGCACGCTCCTATTTGTCTCCGTCTCCAACACACAAAACCCTATAAACCCATCAGGTGATTTCACGTGTTTTTCTCCTTTATATTTCGAGGGTTTCTCTGCTGGGTTCAGTTTTGCGAGCGGATCTGATGGAGGAGAGATTTTCGAAACGAAAACGACAACGGTCTGCTGTTTTATCGATCGCAAGAGAGGATACGATAAGCAAATTACCAGACGCTTTGATATCTCAGATGCTATCGTATCTTCCGACAAAGGAAGCTGTTAGGACGAGTGTTCTGTCCAAACGTTGGAAAATGCCTTTGTGGCTTTTGATTTCCGGGTTGGATTTGGCCTCTTCTGATTTTCCAGATTACAATGCCTTTGTGGGTTTTATGGAAAAGTTCATAGGTTTCTCTATGGAAGAGAAGTCATGCTTGCACAAGCTCAAGCTAAGTATTCGGGAAGACAACAACGATCAGGCTTGTGTCACACGTTGGATAGACTTTGCGGCGACGCCTAAGCTTACGCATCTTGATTATGAGTGTCTTGTGAAGCGTGAGTGTTTACATTCGATGCCCGTAAGCCTCTATATCTGCGAGAGTCTCTTTTACTTGAGACTCCATCGGGTGTTTTTGGGTGGTTTAGAGTCTGTCTCATTACCTCGTCTCAAGACTATGCGTTTGGAATACAATGTATATGCCAATGAGGCATGCCTAGAGTCGCTTATCTCGTCTTCCCCTCTTCTCGAAGATTTGAGCATTATCAGAAAGGTAGATGATGATGTGAAGGTTTTGCGAGTGCGTTCTCAGACACTAAACACTCTCAGTGTAAGCTTTGATATTGGTGGAGAGCTTTCTGGATTTGATAGAGGGCTTTTGATTGATGCCCCTAGACTCAAGTATTTGAAACTCTACGATGAAGTATCCAAGAGTAAAATCTTTGGCAATTTGGATTGCTTAGCCAAAGTCGTTTTTGCTGGCTTCTTTGATATTCAATACCATTCTGATGGAGCTGGCTTATCCAAGAACAAATTGGCCCGTGATTTTTTCATAGGTATCTCGAGAGTTAGAGATATGATCATCTCTGAGAATGCTGTGAAGGTATATATCATATATGTGTCACACATATGTATATATAATATGCTCGCTATTTCACAAAAAACTATGCTGACAAATAATCTTCTCTTCTTTGCTTTGTTTTGTATGTAAGCAGTCCTTCATTTTCTACTCAAGAGTAGAACCATTGCCACAGTTTTGCAACCTGTACTGCCTTGAAGCACAATTTTCTGAACACACCTTGAGCATCCTGCCAAGGCTTCTTGCATGCTGTCCGAATCTAAAATCCATCGTATTGGTGATAACTTTGCACCAACCTAGGCTCTTTTAAATTTAATTATGCATTCAAAGAAATGTGTTCAATATATATTCATGTGTTTTTTTATTTTTTTTTGTAGGACTTAGCTCCTTCTCCTATGTTGTGGATGCATCCCATAAGATTATTGGCCAAGCCTCAGTGTTTGTTGTCATCCCTCGAGTCTGTAGAGATAAAAAGCAGATTCGTAGGAACGTGTGTTGAAAGAGAAGTAGGAAGGTACTTTGTAGAGAACTCAGTACTTCTCAAGAAACTAGTTGTGCATTTGAGCTGCTCCATGGAACAACAAGGTTTAGGCGTCTTAAGGGATCTCCAAGCATTGTCGAAGCCATCTAGGGTTTGTCAGATCGTATATGTTGCTGATGCTGACTAAGACTACATTTCCTAGAGACTGGACTTGGATTTTTGATTTTGTTGAATTCGATTGACGTCTTTTGTGAGTTTTCAGATTGTATCAAAGACTTTTTTTTAAGTAAAATGTGGTTAAAAAATGGAAGATGCGAAAGAATGTGATTCTTACTCTACTAGAATGTTGATAAGAAAAAGAAAGAAAAAAAAGAAGAAAACTTAGACAAACTAACTCTACAAGATTTCATTTAGTGATTGAAGGACCACAATTTGAGTCCCTATATAATTTAAATGATAATTTGATCGTTGTAAACATCTTAGATAATATGAATATTCAGGTTTTTTTTACGGGAATTAGTCTAAATATCGATTTAGAATTTTTCTGTTATTCAAGAAGATACAATTTCAAAAAAATAAGAAACCCATATATATACTCAATTTACATTTTTGTAGTAAAACAATTACTTATATAAATTGAGTATATATAAGTATCTTATACAAGAAGAAAATCGACTTCAAATATTTCCTTTTTTCGCTGATCTCATCGAATATATAAGTTTGTGTTGGAGTCAATGACCCCAAAACTGGGACTCAAATAAAAATCTCATCTCTCTCTCTTCTCTCACTAAATTTTTTGAGAGAGAGAGAGTTCTTTTTCTTGATCCGTATTGTTCAGCTTTTTTGTTGTTTTATAGTTCCGTCAATCGGATCTTTCTTCCGTATATCGGATTTTGTTTTCCGTTTATCGGATAACAATTTCTCCGATTTCGTTATGATCCTTTTTGCATGTTTTATTTTTATTTCCAGGCAAATTTGACAAACCCTTTTCTGTTAGATATGCTGGATCTTCTCCAGAAAGAGCAAATCTTCCACTTTTCTGTTGATAAATCGTCCTGATTGTGAAGTGGAGGTTTTTTTTGCGGAGTCGATTTGAGAATTTGGGAGTTATTTGGGTGATCGTGATGCAGGATCTGTAGATCTGGCGTTTCTTAGAAGCGGTCCGGTGAATATTCTGTTCATCTTCACTTCCGACGACTCTTTGTCTCAATCTCTAACGGTGAAAGTCAGTTTTTCATCTTCTATTGGCGACTACATGCAAAAGGTTTGAGCAGCTATGTGGATTTTCAGCAGTTTCGCGGTGGTATTTAGTTTCAATTGTGTCGGCAGCGGAAGTTTTCGGCGGAGTTAGCGGAGCTGCACAAACTGATCTCGTTGATGAACACATGTTTCTCTTTGTTTCATTTGTTTACACGTATTGAACACATGTTGTGGGCGTACAATTTGATTTCTTTGTTATTTTCGGCTCAACAGCGTATGTAAGCTAGGACAGGATACGGAGCGAATATCCAGAATTTTAGTGATATCTGTGATCCGCTCCGTAATTTTTTGATCCGTATTTGTTTTGTTACTAATCGGATATTTGGTATTTGAATATCCGTTAAAATCCAGATTTTTGACTGGATATCTGATCTGTTTCAAAAATATTAAATTAATTATAAAATATTTAAAATATTTATAAAATAATTATTTATAAAATTAATTAAAAAGTCAAAAATTGTATTAAAAGAATTAATAAAATAAATATAAATTCACAAAAATTTATATATAATTATATTAACTATACATTCTATATGTAATTATAATTATTTAGATATATATATATATATATATATATATATATCGGAATGGATCGGATATCCGGTTTTTAGAATTTTAATATTTGTGATTTGCTCTGTTTTTAACGGATATCAAAATTTAATATTTGCTTTGCTCTGTAAAGCTATGGATATTCGGATTTTTCGAATTAAATCAAAGCAAATAGCGAATCGAATCAAATCTAACGGATAATTTGTCCACTCTTAATGTAAACTGCCCAGCCCTTTTTGGGCTTTAATACTAATGAAAACGACAAAAAAAAAAGTGTTGGAGTCAATGAGAAACTCAAAACATCAATTTTATTTTATTTTATTAAGAAGATGACTTAAGTTACACACCATAAAATGTGGAGAAACCTTCTAAAAGGAACAAAAGTTTAAATTTTTTTAACTTAACCAAAAAAGAAGAAGATTTGTTTGGAATCAAGTGAACAACTCTCCAAAACTTATATTCACAAACTAGATTAAGATAAATTAGACTCGAAACTAGCAATTAAGAATAAAAAAAACTCACAAATTGTTTGAATTTTGCACATATACCGTAGCAAACGACCAGTTTCCTGGTTTTTAGGCAAAATTATCTTATTCACAACTCTACATGCTTTGAATTTATCATTTTTATGTGTTGGTTAAGAACATCTTTAAGCAAACGAGACAAACAACATTTGAATCCAATGATGTAAACCACGTTTCATAAATTCCTTCAAAAATCTCATAACATTATCCTAAATATTTAAAAGGAATCGAATAAATTCATTCCATTAATGCTTTCACGGATAATTCTGGTTTGAAAAATTCTTAACAGCTTGATCAAAGCATACCACTGTCTAAACAAAGCAACAGCCCAACAATTACCTGTCAAAAGAGAAAACAGTCGCACTCAACCAAATCCATATACATGGTGACAATATACTATTTACTTAAGAACACACAAAGAAGAAACAGTGAACATGCGTCTATCTATTGTAAGAAACAAATTTTCTTCGCTGATTCCTTATATTTTGTTTTTTATGCATCCTATGATCACTGGTAATACACAACTGAGTATATAACAAATTTTCGTCAAACTATCGACTATTTCTTTATATATGTAAGTAAGATGATTTTACTCATAGTTAAATGTGTGGCTGAAAAGGAATATAAGAAAACAAAATTGAAAGCTAAAATTGATTACCACAAGGAGTTTAGCAACAAAACAAAAAAACTAACCGAAGGAAAATCATTAGCCAAAACTAAATTGTAATTTTTGAGAGTTTAGACAAAACTATATATATAGCAGAAACGCTTAACAATTAAAAAATTACATCAACTATTAATCCGTTTAGATCCATCTTAATTTAATGTTGCCTACTGATTAAGATCATACATTTATTAACATCAACTATTATCTCAACCGAAAATTTCTTTAGATCTTTTGTTAATAAATGTTCATCTTAGTCAGTAGGCAACATTAAAATTTTCAGTTTTTGTGCAAATTGGGCCATCTTTAGAAAAGTCTCATCCTGAGTTTTAACATAAAAGCAAAAATGTTTTGTTGTTAACCAGTAAACACTTAAGAGTTCTTTTTTTTTTTGTAATTTACCAATTATAAAGTTTTTTTTATTAGGATGTTTATGATCAGACCAAGACTAGCATTCCTGGAGACCGGACTTGAGTTTATATTTAATTGAATCAAATTTGATGTCTTTGTGAGCTTCTGGATGATTTATTTAAAAATGTGACTGAAAACTGGAAGATACAAAGAATGTGATTGTGCCTCTAAGTGACCTTGTTTTAAAAAACTATTCTTCAGCCAGGTCTTGTGATGGGGACGGCCCATCTTCCAAGATGAGCCGTGTAATTTGTGCAACGGATCACTCCTCTTCCGCTAAGACCATCCGGAAAATCTATGACGCTAATGCTGCCTGCATCTAGATGGAACAGTCCGAGCCATTCTTTAGTGAGGTTAAGGCATTGTGCTATGAGGGATATGTGAGCCATTGCGGGACCAACCACCACCATGGCATCTCCTGGGTTTGACTTATCCTCGTCCGATAGTTCGCCTAACAGTGATTCCCAGGCTTTCCCTGATCTGTTCCATAGACCCGAAACCGTTTCTTCGTCCATCCGACTTAGCCAACCAGGTTGGATCGATGCAACCACAGCTTCGTCCTGCAGAGTTTGGGGATCAGAAAGACCAAACCAGTGTTCATTTTTACATCTCATAGTGATGAATAATAATCTTGCCTTGTAGGATTTGCGAATAATGTCTTCAATATCATCAAGCTCCTTCATTTGTTTCGTATTCACATAGCGAGGTACATGATCTACACCCAAACAGCCCGCAGCTTCTTGCACCTGTTAACTCTTTAAACTGTTAAAAGAACATAAGTTTTGTTTAAAAAATTGAAGTTCAGTAAAGATAGAGGGATCTTGTATAACTTACCCGGGATATTACCCCAGCAGTCTCAATGGAGGCTCTTGTAGAGCTACAAACTATTGAAGTCACCCTTCGATCAAGAAGAAGCTCTGCGGTTTTCTGCGACTGCAGTAGTCAACAATGAAGGGTTAAGAGCTTTTTACAAATTGCTCTTCACAAAGTCACACGTTGTCTGTTATTATTTACCTGTATCACCCCAAGCATGTTCATTGGCTGATCATTAGTGCTAGCCTGCTGGTCAAAGTGACTGCTTTGGTTAATAACTGCAGAAAACCTGATAATGTAAAATCTGATCCAAAGCCTCCAACTTTTCTTTAGCTCAGAGATTAATGTAAAGAGAGAACAAAACACCTTCCACGCGCATCCATGGAGGTATAATTCTGGCAGAAGAAAGATAGTTTAAGAGATGAACGTAAGCAACTCAAACAACTTTACCTCATCATCCCCCTGACCATGGCAGACAAGTATGATCTGCTTACTAGCTTCTCGGCCACCAGAACTTCCACCAGCTAGAGGAGAATTAGGTGTCTGCATTTTGTACTACTATGACAGTAAGACTACCTATAACATTTTAAGCCCAACTCGGGAATCTTGCAACTTAATGACAAATGTGTTAACGAAAGAAGAAACTTTAGTGGTTCACTGAAAGAAAGCTAGCTTGCCTGGTTCAGTCGATTAACACATACGTGAGGAGATCCACCATCAGCTCTCGCTCTGAAGTCTAGTACGCTTACACCGCAATTGCTCTGCAACAATCTCCTAAAGTACTCTGTTCCCAGACCTATCATGTAACCGAAGACGGAAAAAGAAAGAAAAATTAAACAGAGAAATGAAAAAAAAAAAAAAACGGATAGTTGCTGAAAGAAGAAGAGAAAAAAGTATACCAATTGCTGTTGCTAGAAGAGCCTGGTTCACTGCATTATGAGCAACAACAAGAACAGAGTTGCTCTCGTGAGCAAGAATCTCGGTCCAGGAGCTCTTAGCGCGTGACCATAGCTCTCTTACCGGATAGTGGCCATCAATGCTGAAGTTTGCCGGATCTTCTTGCCATTGCTTAAAGGCTTCACCGAACTTTGCTTTCCCATCTTTCTTGAGTAGACCCTATTATTATAACCATCAGCTAGAAAAATGATTTAGAGAAAAGCACGAATGATCAATGAAGCCTATATAATGTATGTTCTCGCTCCCATCACAGCTAATGCTTACTTGAAATGAGTAGAGATCAATTTCTCTGAGATCGTAGTCCAAGATCATCTCACTTTCTCGACTGCCCCATATGATTTCAGCTGTTTTCTTCGATCTCTTCAATGGACTGAACACCAAAATGTATAACAAATGCAACCAATTTACAAAAAGGCTTTAACATAAACTTAAAGTTGAATCATTGTAAATTCACAATATCTGTATCTCTCTGATTCTTCAAATTCAAAATTTGTTCTCTACCCTTTGTTTAATCGATCCAAATACCGACCAATACGATAAAATCACTCAAATCGATCTAAAAAAAAAAAAAAAAAAAATCCAAATCCAAGAGACTGCTGCTATAAGAAAAATATTTCAAAAACGGGATTCAATAGACCTAATGAGAAATTGCAGGACCTGGCGAAGCAGACATCGAAGGAATCGCCGACGAGCATCTGGCGAGAAATTTCGGCCTGAGTCTCGCCTTTCTTCGTCAAGACGGAGAAATCGGAACTCCCTTGAATCCTTCCTTCTTCGTTCCACGTGCTCTGCCCATGCCTCACGAGCACCACTCGCTTCGTCGTCTTCTCGTCGCCTTGGTCATGTTGGGTCGACGATGATCGAGTCCAGAAGCAGCGGCGGCGAGTAGAATACGGTCGGTGGTTAGTCAGGTGGAGGAGACGCCGGTTGGGGAATATCGCTTTAGTGTGTGGTAGAGACATCATTTTATTTTATTGAAGAAAATAAGAAGTAAAAATTTCAGTAACCGGCTTTTTATTCGATTATCCTTTTCGCGCGAATGCCATCGGTTTAATTAGTTTATGAATATCCCAGACCGCCAAATCCGAAAACCGATAATCAAACCACTTTGGTTTTCATTATATACCAAAGGAAATGTGTTTTCATTCATTTTTTTTTTCTATCAAAAAGTTCCGGACCAAGGTCTCAAGTAGTTTTCATAAAGAGTAAAGTATATCATTAATTAATCCTCCACCTATAAAACAAACAAATTACAATAATAATAATCACCTCTAGTAGATCGGCTTTTGTCAGGACAGTCTCTCGTAGTTTCTTCACAGCTTCAGACAACTCTTCGATAGATTTCTTCATTTCTTTGAATTCCTGCCATTGGATTAAATGTGATGATTAAGAAAACTGGTTAAAAAAAACAAATCAAACTCATTACGTGGGAGAGAGTCAGCCATCTTAAATGGCACTAATGTCAAGAATATATAACATGACTCATTAGCAACCATGCAAGTGTACAATTAAGGTCAGAGACATAACAAAAGAGATGTATCTTGAGAGACTCACCTCACCAGAAGAGTAATCACCCTCCTCCTCCGTGGAAACACAATCAACAAGAGAGTTAAGGAAAGCACAATTATATAAGCCTTTTGTATCTTTCGGTCAATACAAATTCTTAATACAGAACAAAGACCCAAACAGAAAAATAAGCAGACAAATAAAAGGATATTGGTCGATGTTGGGGGATTTGTAGCCAACGAAATTGTACACTTCCTCTCTCCAAGCTGTGGGAAAGCTCAAACTCTTTCTCGAAGACGAGATCAAAGCTAATCTGAGGGATGTTTCCTTGTGAAAGAGTTCCAATGACAAGTTTCTTCCCATCAACCGTCACATATAAGAGCGCAGATTCTCCCCTTTTTCCTTCATCAAGTGATGCCTATAGGAAAACAAAAAAAAAAAAATCAAGAGATTGATTAACTAGTTCCTAAAACTTGAGAAATTCTCATTGGCGTTTGAGAAATTACCTGAGAAACGTGGATGAGACAGTCTTGATCAGGCTTCAATGTAAGAGGCTTCCCGGCCTTAACTTCAGCTCCTAAATGCATCACAAAAAGGAAGAAAAAAACACGAGTCAGTTGCATAGAGCAACCACTCCTTGTTACTTTTTGAAACATGAGAAACGCATCCTCTAATCAAACGCAGGTAATATTTCTAAACATGAGAAGCATAATATATTTACAGCCAAAATACGAAATAAGCTAAACGCAGCTAAGTATGGAAACATGAATCAACAGGTTCAAAAAAAAAACGAAAAGAAACTTCCAAAAAGACTTGAACAGAATCGAAATCTAACGAGCATGAGCTTTATAATAGACACGGAGATAAGAACATCGAGATGGGATTCTTACCCCAGAATTCCATTGTTGATAAACGAGGAATATAAAATTTGACCGCTAAACAAGAGGAGGTACGGTGAGTGGTTTTGGTCCTTAGGGTTTTTTGATTGGTCCCTACGACGTCGTTTCCTATTTTTTCTTGCTCACGTTTGTATAACTGGAATGGCGTATTTTAAAAACATTCACATTTTGTAAATTTCACATTTTTGAATAATTCATTACATATTTTGGTAGAGCTAGATCCAGGATTGACAAAGAGCAAATGTAACTATTCAGAGATGATTCGCATAAATTAAAGATCATCTTCGTCATTAGAAGGGAATAAAGCAGAATGGATAATCTTCAGTTTTCTTTAATAGTTGCCATAAATATTTATTATGACAATACAACACATATGTATGCATGGAAGCCATATCAGAGGATTCAAGGAAATTAGAAGACACCAAAAGAGACAAAACCGAAATAATTGAAAGTAAAAAGGTCCACGTGTCGTATTAGTGGGGTACTTTCTTGACTATGCAAAGACGTAGAATCTTCACTAATAACATGAACATGTAATGTAACACGTGCCTCTTCTGCTTAATGTGTGTAGTCAAATTTGTCAACAAAAAAAAGAAAGTCAAAAGTTATACATTTTTTATGTTTCGATCCGTTTGACTTCGGTTTGGTTTGTTTAGGTTTGGAAAAAGTTCATACCAAGTGGGACTATGAATTTAATTTTGGGTTCTGTTTGGTTTGGTCTATGGTGAAACAAATATACATTTTAAACAAAATGGATGGCTTTGAAAAATAAATATAGGAAAATGTAAAATCTGTTCAGATTATTAGAATGTTCAAAGAAAAGTGCTGTTCTATTTTTCTCTTTTAGTTGTTCGGTTTGAGTTATTGAAATCAAAGCCTTCAGACAAGTGACTCGTTTCGCTTGGATTCAGTGTTCGATAATATATTATGGCCTGTCTATATATAGTTCTTCCATATTGACGATTTACATATACAACAAGTTACGTGCTGAAAATACATGTAATCAATTGTATATAAATTCCACACCTACTCTTTTTTTGTTCTCTTAGATCATCTTGTTGTGTTATAGCGATAAAATATATACGTAAAGAAGTTTAAGAGAAGTGGGTCTGATTTATTTAGACCACCTTGCCGTTCTCTTTTTGATATGGCAGGAAATCATCTTGTTATGTTATTATGCGTATTTCTATTTCCTACCATTTCGCTAATTAATTGGTGGCGGTTTGAAACGAGATGTTAAAAAGGTAAAAAGTCACCAATCATATTTGTTAAAAACATATATTTAAAAATGTAAATCAAGAAGACTCAAAGGGAGATGAAAAGAAATGTAGAAAGAATCAATTCAACATCCTTAGGTAATAGGTACAATGTTAGATAGTCCCACTTGGGTTTTCACCAACTTTGCCATATTAAACCACTACATATATACGATTAAAAAGGTTTCAACAACCCCATCGATTTATTTTTACGGCCAACCATAGTTTGTTGATTGTTTCTTATTAGTTATAGACTTTAAATCATGACTATGTGTTTGCTTTTTTAAAAATATAAAATAAAAATAAAAACTAAGTGAACAAGAATTTATTAGAAGCTGGACATGACCAATTTTAAAACCTGAGGTCACACCAATCTGTAACATAAACTAAGAGACAAATATGACACAAGTCTTATTCTTTTATCCAATCCAATTCTAATAAATTCTTGCAAAAACTTTTGTTAGTATCACTTACGAAACTCTTTTTCTCATTTTACATATATAAATAAAAGTTGGTATATGTCAAAAAGTAATGATAATTTGTTAAGTTGCTAACTTGCAATTAGCAAATGACAAAGATAATCGGCAAAAAATTAGGCATGAAACTTAACACAATTCGTTTAATATTCATGTAAATGATCATTATAATTATTTAAATGATAATCTAGAACTCTAAAATAATAGACCAAGCGCTTTTATATTAGAAACACAAATCTATTTAGTAATTTGGATGATCACAAATAACTCAAAAATTTGACAACGAAAATTAACACTTCTGGAAAATGATTGCATAACATGGATATATCCGTAGCAAACGTGTTGACTCATTTGTTTAGTATATAGCACAGTATTTCTTAAGTATCACTATATTTTTGCGATCAATTGCAATTTCTCATATGTATAAACTCTTTGAATAAGTTTTTTCCTTGAGGTTTTAGTGATTTTTAAAAAAATCTATATTGTTAAAGGGATCGGAAGTGTGTTAAACCTATAGTACGACGCATGTGAATATTCCAATATCTCCTTGGGGATTAAGATAAGAACATTGGTGCATGAAGGATATAGATATTTCGTTGCTAATAATAGGAAGTGTAATGAATATCAATTCTATCAGAGTTAGAGATAGAGACTATATACTAGGATAATCACATCCACAAATAGTCTTAGTACTATACTTTTTGTATGTCTGTGCGTTTTTATGAGAGAAAACACTAAATTAGATATAAACCTACAAATATGTTTCACTAGCTCTTTGTGTGTCTATGGAAGCTCGAGTTGGGCCGTCGTCTAACTCATGCGCTTTTCTTCGAAACTAATATAAATCTAACTTTGTGAGATAAACCAATTTAGGTTTTTCAAATAATGTATAATCATGCATGATATTAAAATATATATCTTGAAGCCATATTAACTTGTTGTATATTTGTGTTAAAGAAATTAGTATTTATGTCAAAAGTGAAAACTAAAACGATTAATTAAAAAATAGATACAAAACTTAGGGGTACATCGTATTAATCAGTGATCTAGAACATTACATATGCAATGCTATATTCTAAAACAGCCAAGCTATATAACTGAAAACCGACTACATGTATCACCAAACATATGGGTAGTAAAACAATATTACAAATAACTTTTATCCGATAGCAAACGTTTACAAAACTTAGACAAAAATAAATAAATAGCTTCCGTAAACAATATTTATTCAAATTATGGGAGCAAATCAGATATTGAACTAATGAGTTCTTATTTGTTTTAAATATATATTTGTAATTTGTTTGGTATGGAATAGCAACATAACTAAACTACTTACGCTAAATGCTCCTAGTACTATATTATTCGACAAAAAGTTTCATTATCAAACTATCGTTTACATATGGCCAAACAGAGAAACAGAAAAAAAGGGATCAATGTATAATAAAACTCGATCTTTATCAATTGTCATTTGTCACTTGTCACCACCACATGGTTGCTTGGTAGTTGATACTAATCCACATATTTATTATACACACGACCTCTAATTATGTTTTTTTTTTGAATGTCAAGTTTGTTCAGTTATTATGTGTTAAGGATACAAATTTTAAACTAAAATAGAAACTTGAAAACCTAACAAAATCTGGAGAGAACGCTATTTGGAAACCACAAGTCCACAACTGACACGTATGTAAAACCTTGTTGAAAAAAAAAAAAAAAAAATGACACGTATGTCCATTTATCCAAATTAATTTATTATAATCCTTACTCAGTAATTAGCAGCAACACAATATTTGGAGGCCTTCCACTAGTTAACACGTACCTGGTATTAACCATGTTTTCCTGACAAAATTCAAACACAAATTTAGTAGTATTATTTTTACACATCTTCCAAAAGGGAGATGTTCAAATTAAAACTTTATAATATTAAATGAATAAAAACAAATATTGGCGAGGAAACTCAAATGAAATGTGGTAGGTGAAGTATTTGACGGAGTTACCCCTCGAAGACACGTTAAGACTTTCTTTTGGTAAAATCCATCATCATCCACTCTCTCCTCTTCCTCCTCTCACAGTATATAATCTCTTCCTTCTCCACCATTATCTCTCAGCTTGCAAGTTCTCTTTTCAACAATAGAACTCCAAGCTTGTACTGTACTTTACAATACGCAGTCGTTTTTAATAATTTTTTCATAATATCCCACTTACAAAAAAAAAGAAGCAAGAGCATTTTACTTTCGAGTCAAAAATCATGCAAGCTGTTTCGCCTGCGTTCTCGTGTGATCTCAAATCTGTAATTCAAACCAATCTAACGGCTAAAAACGTGCGTTACTCTCACGCAAATGGAAAGCGTGTGTCTGTTCGCTGCAGTTACAGGTCTGAGTCGTTTAGCTTCCCTAATGGTGTTGGCTCGAGCCGAGCCGATTGGCAGAGCTCATGCGCCATCTTAGCAAGCAAAGTAGCTTCCGCTGAGAATTCCAGCTCCATCACCGGCGGTTTAGCTGATCAAGTTGCCGCCGTTAACGGACACAGTAACGGCTCCGTCAACCTCAGCCTCGTTCCGTCGGATTCGAAGAACGGGAAGCCTGGATTGATTCAGCCGTTGACAATTACAGATCTTTCGCCGGCGCCGTCGCACGGATCCACCCTCCGTGTGGCGTATCAAGGAGTTCCCGGCGCGTATTCCGAAGCTGCCGCCGGGAAAGCTTACCCGAATTCTGAGGCCATTCCGTGTGATCAATTCGATGTTGCCTTTCAGGCGGTGGAGCTCTGGATCGCCGATCGTGCAGTCCTCCCTGTGGAGAATTCTCTCGGTGGTTCGATTCACAGAAACTACGATCTCCTCCTCCGCCACCGTCTCCATATCGTCGGCGAGGTTCAGATCCCCGTCCACCACTGCCTCCTCGCTCTTCCCGGAGTCCGTGCTGATTGCATCACGCGCGTGATTTCGCATCCCCAGGCTCTTGCTCAGGCGGAAGGATCGCTCAACAAGCTCACTCCCAAAGCTGCGATCGAGGCGTTTCACGACACCGCTGCGGCGGCGGAATACATCGCAGCCAACAACCTACACGACACTGCGGCTGTAGCAAGCGCGAGAGCCGCAGAGCTCTACGGACTCCAGATTCTCGCCGACGGGATCCAAGACGACGCAGGGAACGTCACGCGCTTCCTGATGCTGGCGCGTGATCCGATTATCCCTCGCACGGATCGTCCTTTCAAAACCAGCATCGTCTTCGCCGCGCAGGAGCACAAAGGAACCAGCGTCCTCTTCAAAGTGCTCTCCGCGTTTGCGTTTCGAAACATTAGCCTGACGAAAATCGAATCGCGGCCGCACCACAACTGCCCGCTCAGAGTCGTCGGAGATGGAAGCGTGGGAACGTCGAAGCACTTCGAGTACACGTTCTACGTTGATTTCGAGGCGTCGATGGCGGAGGCGCGTGCGCAAAACGCACTCGCGGAGGTTCAGGAGTACACGTCGTTCCTCAGGGTGCTGGGAAGCTACCCAATGGATATGACGCCATGGTCGACGTTACCTAGCGAAGACGTATGACACCGTATATTATCATTATCATAATAACATATGATAAAAAAAATATCATATTTGTTAAATTATAAGATACTTGAAACCAAAGTAAATGTAGAGCTCGTTTTGCATGTGAAAGTAGGAGAATAATATTACTTTATTTCTCCTGTGACCTATCACCAAATATTTTGTGTATCTGCTACTTTTGTAACAAGATCGGTTTGTAGTTTGGCTCTGATAAATCAAAAGAAGATTTTCTTAAATACCATTTTAATCTCTTTCAACTAAAAATACCATAATTATAAATTGAATCCTGATGTTTGGTTTGATTCCACAAAGAAACTACGGTTCTAAAGACACAAACACATGCAGCACTTTATATCACAATTAAATTCATGTATATGAAATTAGTACACGACTCATAAACACATGTACACTATTACATTCTGTCCCATTTCCTTCCATCATCCTCTCTAAATGTTGTGTGTCTTAATAGTTTGGAATACACAAAATTTTCAATACTGTTGTACCCGAATTCGTAACAAAAATATAGTATCATTAATATTAGTAGGGGTTATTGGTTCTTGTATTTTGGTGGATTTATAAATCTTCTTTGGATTTGATAAATTTATTGATTTCAAAATCAGCAAAATAGAAAAAACTCAAATCCACTCAAATACCAAAGTTAGACCTTGTATTTGGGTATTTGTATTTTAGTCATGAAAATCTTTCCAAATCCATTCAAATTCAATTAAAACTCAAATCCTTATAATATTTAGATTCTAAAATGATAGAACCAATAACATTGTATTTCATTATGAATTTTAAAATCATAGAACCAATAACACTGTATTTCAATATAAATCTTAAAATACAAGAACCAATAACACTGAATTTGGTTTGGATTCTCAAATCCATTAAAATACAAAAACCAATAACACCTCCTTAGTATTTGAAGCTATATATCTTCTTAAACTCCCACTTTAACCAACGAAACAAGAAAGACATTCAGAATCTAAACCTTCAAGTTACTTTAAAAAACAAGTTGTTGAGTTGCAAAAGTCAATCTTAACGTGTGAACATGAGTTGAGGTTGATGATGTTTCTTTCTTTGAAACAAATAACAAGTATAACCTCCATTAGGTCGTGTACCAACTTCCATTTTTTTTTTTTTTATGTTTTGACAAAACTTATATGAATTTTCGTTGATTATTTAATAAAGTTCTCAACTATCTTCAAGAAACTCTCTTTGAGTTGCCAAAGAATCGGGCATATAATTTCCACGAAACTTAATTAGTGTTAATACAATATATACAATATATGTGTTCCCACCTATTATTTTTTAAGTTTGATAGATAAATTTCAGTCCTAACATTTTGTATGTTTGTATCATATGACAAGAGTAAGGAGAGGTCTCCAGTACAACTCAAAAGCTCCACAACATAAAGGGATTGGGTTTGAAAATTTTTGCATGCTGTCAAAACTAGCTAACAACGTTGCGATATGATTAATATGAACAACGTTGTGCGTGTGTTTTTTTTACTTCTAATTGCAAAGTTCTGGAGAATTTGTTACAAAATTTTATGACACTTGCTTTTTCATAATGCCGTACATATATACATGTGTTTAGCAGGCTTTTTCTTATTTTTGTGTATGTGTTATTAGTTTAGTTCTAAATATAATTTATAACTTTTAATTTTTAATCATGTATTTGTACTGTATTACTTAAACCGATACAACAAAACAAAAAGGTATTATCAAATCTCTTACATTTTACCGCGCACGCCATATAGTTTATCATGGAATATATTACTGCGTTGTTTTAAAAATGATAGAATTAAAATTTAATTATTAAGAGTTTCATGTTTACATTCCTAAATAATGGGTTTGACTGGTATGTCAACTTAATAGCAGAATAGCAGAATAGTAGAATATCTAAATAATAAACTAGCGGAATCACTAGGATGAGTAAACTGAAAACTGAATAAATTCAAAACGCTAAAAAACTAATATCTATAAGATGAATAGATTATCCTCTAAACTAGTTATAAATTTAAAACGTGCGGAATGGTTTAGAAAATAGCGTGTTACTTTTCACTTTTTATCATTCAGTGCCTAATATTGTAAATGATATGTATTTAGTGAAATCACGTTTTTAAAATGTGAAAAAGCTACATACCATTCAACCTCAATGTTTATTGTTTTCGACACAATAATGGTGTTAGCTAAATCTTGTGCGGTGTCCTAATCTCATACATTTGTAAACGACTTCCACCATAGTAATTAAGGTAAACCAATAATAAATTCAAAAGAGAGTCTTGGTCATAAGAATAAAAATTACGATCATGAACTGATTTGAGCATTTAGTGGGTCCATGATGGGTTTGAAGATGATGTGAATCATGTCATGGCGGACTATTATACTCATAATACACAGAAAACACTCATGTTATATTTAGAAATATTGTATTAATTTAAATTTTAGGTGAGACAAATATGATGGCGTCAATTGACCCGCGCGTTATAGGTTTGGTGGATGAGAGAAGTGGTCGGAAATTTAACACATCAATAGAAAATCTATTAACCTCGTCATGCATGTATCATTGGGATAATGTAACAAGTTGTTTTTGCCAGTGTCTGTCTTTAATTTGTTTTTAATTAGTATTTTATGTTTGGAATCAGTTTTTGATGGTATGAGTGAAACACTAAAAGCGTGAACTAACACTTCCTTAGATCTACAGTTGCACTCGAGAGATTATTTAACATTATTATATGTATCAAAAGAACTAAACTCAGAAATAAATAGACTATAGCGGATGTACTTAACATAAAACCCTTTTTTTCTTTCTCAGCGACGTCCACGTATCATCATATTTATTTGAAACCAACTTTATCATGTGTTAATTCTTAATCACGAAAGTCAAAGATGATTAAACACTTGTATTATCATATTACTAATATAATTTAAGAAGGGTTGATTCAGAGAAATGGCAAAATCAGAAGTGGGGTGGTTGGTGGGAGAAAGAGAGATCGAACTCAGTGTGGTAGTAGGTGGAGGAGCTATGTTACACTTAGGATTTGCCGACTTGATTACATTTCGGTTAAGCGTTTGGTTTTGGTTTTGGTTTTGATTTTGATTCCGGTTTAAGTTACAGTTCTTAGTGATTAAACAAAAGTCTATAGAATGCTCTACTGTGGTCCAAGAAATGGCATAAGAATTCAATGTTATAACGTGTTGCAACTTGCAAGTACATTAGATGATTTTTTCCCTTGCTATAGTATTTTTATAAGCGCGGTACGTATTTCCAAGTTATACGAAGAGAGATATATTAAGTCTACATCAATCAATTCTACAGACAAAATTTCTCCATGTTGGAATATTGTTCTGTTTATTTCTAATATTGTGAAACCGGTTTTGTAAGTTGTAACTTTCTATCATGTTCCTTGATATAGTCATACAAATAGATAACGCATGCTCCAGCATTTCTTGTGGTAGGTAATTAGGTATAGTGATGTGGAAACATTAGATTATAAGTATCCATTTGATGAATGGTTTCATTTTTAACCATATGTTTGTTTCCTATATACTATATTCGAATGTTTTCCAAAATTCGATATATATATATATATATAATTGAGAATCAAGCGATCAATGGAGTAATATCTGGTTACGAAGTATAAAACCATTCTCAAAACGTTTTTCTTCCGCTATTCCCATTTTAGATCGGATCGGAGAAAAAAAAACATATTAGTTAATTTGAGTGTAAATATATATGTATTTCTACTTTTCTAGTTCGTGGTTTGTCTTTAAATGAAGCTCTCATCGAGCTAGTGCAGAAACATATATACACGTGAATCATGTTTACTAAAGATCTCATTCCAAAAAATAGAAAAGATTTAAGCACTCTAGTTCACAATAATATTAAAATCAACTCTTATTTCCTAAATGATGTCATTGAACTTTAATCACTCAGTTAGGAAACATTGAACACAAAACACACGACATTGGCTCTTGTGTGTATGTTTTGCATTGGGTCTTGTGTTTCAATCGTAGGAATTTCATGCAAAATACGAAATTGAACGGCCCATGTCCAAATATATATTTGATGTTCGGCCCAATAAGTTCAACGGCAGGAAATTCCATTGACATTGGACAGAAGAACCCAAACATATTATTAGAAGCATTTTATAAAATTCTGAAACTTACAGGGCCAAAATGAAAACAATAAAAATAAAAAGGGGAAAATTACGAATTATCTGCAAATGTTTTTGTTTCAGTGTTCGTTTACAAAAAAAAAAAAACCCCTTTGAACATAAAACACCAAAACCTCACCTTCTCACACACTTATCTGCAAACACTCCTCAACATCCACTTCCTCTCTCACCTTTATCCCTCTCATGGCTAACGACGACGACTCACCCGAACTCACTGAGTCGCAGGAGCAACAGGAAGACCCGAGTGAAGACCAACAATCACCCAATGCGGAGGATGAAGAAATTGGCTCCGGCTCTGACTCGGACTCATCTTCCGAATCCTCCGGCGCCGATTACTACATCTCCGAGTCCGAGAACGAAGCTGAAGGCGATAGCGCCATCCTCAACTACGTTCGAGCAAGCGACATACCTCCCGATCCCAACGCTAACCCGGAGACCAACATCCGCCGATTCAATCGCGTGCTCGACGGCAAGCGCGTGAAGCGTCTGCAGGAGGAAGAAGAAAACAAGTACACGTTCTACGAGGATCTCTTCGATTTCCCCAGGGACCCGGAAAGGTGGAAGGAAGAGGATCTCAGGGAGGTTTGGGCGGATGCTCCATTGCAGATGACGAAACCTGGTTGGGACCCGGTTTGGGCCGACGAGGAGGATTGGGATGTCGTCAACGACGAGATTCAGGAAGGTCGAGATCCTGGGATTCAGCCTTTCTATGTCCCGTACAGGAAGCCGTACCCAGCGATTCCAGATAATCACTATGATATTGAGAACGCCAAAGGTGTTGTTGAGGAGCTTGATAGGATTGAGGAGTTTCTTCAATGGGTCAGCTACATTTTCCCTGACGGAAGCTCGTAATACCCCATTTCCCCTTTTCTTCTTCCAATTTTCTTGTTTTTTGCGATTTGGAGCATGTTTATTCAATTTGATGTTTGCAATTGTGATTTTTCAGGCGTGTGGTTTATGCTTTGATTCAGCTGAAAGTAATCATTGTTTTGTTCCACTGAATGTTCTATCACCATAAAGCTAGTGACTCTCTTCGTTTGTTGTTCTATAAGCTGCAGACTGAAATTTTTTCATAAAGTTGGTTTGAGGCTTTGCATTCTATGTTTTATCCTGTTCTTGTTTAAGTAGAGTCTGAATTCTGGAGCGTGTTCTTCAATGAAGAAAATGGCAATGCAGGTTGATTTGTAGGGCATTAGAAGCTTTGTAGCGACCAAGTTTAAAGATCTTAATCATCTGTTTGGGGTAGATTTGTGATGGATACTTCTATCTTGATTCAGTAGCTTCCTATCTCATTATATATCTCTCTTTTGTTTTTGGCTAAAGGTACGAAGGCACTGTCTGGGATGACTTGGCTCAAGGCAAAGGTGTTTATATTGCTGAAGATGGGCTTGTGAGGTGATATTTCTGCTTCGTAGTTGTACCTGTTTTTGTTTCCCTTGTTTACGTTTTATATTTGCTGTCAGTGACCTATGACATTTTGTTCTTGGGTCTGTATTTGAATCTTTAGGTATGAGGGTGAATGGCTTCAGAATGATATGGAAGGTCACGGGGTTGTAGAAGTTGATATTCCTGACATTGAGCCCATGCCAGGTTCCAAGTACGATTATCGATCCTGTTAATCTGCCCTTGGGATTCTATGGACATAGTCCTTTGAGTATGATACTGTTCTTTCTGTCTACAGGCTTGAAGCTAAGATGCGTGCTGAAGGAAGGATTATCAAGAGAGATTTTATGAGTCCAGAAGACAGAAAGTGGTTGGAAATGGATGTTGAGGACAGTGTTGCACTTACTGATGGAAATTACGAAGTTCCTTTTTATGAAAACCAAGAGTGGGTCAAGCAGTTTGGTGAAAAACCGTGAGTTTCCAATGATATGATCCTTACTAGATGTCTTTCATCTCAATATTGCTAATATGTTGATTTATATACACTATATTGCTGGACTAGACAATTACGTTTTTTGTACCAGGGAGAAAGGTCGGTATCGCTATGCTGGTCAATGGAAGCACGGTAGAATGCATGGCTGTGGCGTCTACGAAGTTAATGAACGCATCCTACATGTGAGTAGTCAGTGATGATTAGAGTATAATCTTGTCCTCCATGACACATTTTCTTTGGTGAATATTCGTGTTCGTGACACTAGTTTACATCTTGATGGCAATGCAGGGTAGATTTTACTTTGGTGAGCTATTGGAGGAGGAGCATGGCTGTACCGTAGATGTTTGTGCGGTAGTTACCCACTCTCTCTCTCTTTATAATATAAATTTCAGAAAAGAAAGAAGAAGGAATGATTAATATACTGACGAGATAACGTTTTCAGCTGCATTCTGGTTTGGCGGAGGTGGCTGCAGCCAAGGCTCGAATGTTTGTAAACAAACCCGACGGAAGTATTGTCTCACTTCTTTACCAGTAATTTTGTTATTGTTATATGTTTAAAAGTATTTAAACGAACACATGTCAAAGAGCTCAAAGATGTTGTTTTTCTTCTGTATATGCAGTGGTTAGAGAAGAGAGGGGCCCATATGGTGATCCTCAGCATGCTTATTTTTATGAAGAAGATGATGTGTGGATGGCGCCGGGTTTCATTAACCAATTTTACGAAGTGGGTCATTTTCTTATCAAGCTTTTATAGTTAGTTCTCTGATCACACAAGGGACTAAAGAATCTGTCTTTTTGGTAGGTACCGGAGTATTGGGAAACCTACGTAGACGAGGTGGATCAAGAAAGGGAAATGTGGTTGAACTCTTTTTACAAAGCCCCTCTGAGGTTACCGATGCCCGCTGAGCTCGAACATTGGTGGGAAAATGGTAATGACCCTTAATGTTTTCAGTCTTACATGGTTGGATATTGGTGTTCTATTGAAACTTTCTCTGATGAGGGTTTTATTTTCTTGATCAGTGGAGGTGACACCGGAGTTCGTCTTACTGAACAAAGAACCCGAACCTGATCCACAAGATCCTTCGAAACTTGTCCAGAAAGAGGACCCTGTTATTTTACATACACCAACAGGTCGGATTATCAACTATGTAGAGGATGAAAAGCACGGCGTTCGACTATTTTGGCAGCCTCCTCTGGAGGAAGGAGAAGATGTGGATCCTTCAAAAGTCGAGTTTTTGCCACTTGGGTTCGATGAGTTCTATGGGAAAGAAGTGGCGGTGAAAAAGGAACACCCGGTGAAAAGATTCGTACTTGGAATAGAGAAAGCGGTGAAGCCGATGCTTGATGGATTAGAGAAATGGACAGAGGAGAAAAGGAGAGCAAACGAGGAGAGAAAGGAGATATTACAGAAGGAGCTTGAGCTAGTAGAGGCTGAGATTTGCTTAGAGGAAGCTATAGAGGATATGGATGAGGAACTGAAGAGGAAAGAACAAGAAGAGGAAAAGAAAACTGAAATGGGTTTGACTGAAGAGGATGAAGATGTTTTTGTCCCGGTTCATAAAGAAGAGAAAGTTGTCACTGCCAAAGAGAAGATACAAGAGAAGAAGAAACAGGAAGAGGAATCCAAAGATGATGATGACGGTGATGATGATGATGAAGGCAGAGATGAGGATGACGATGATGATGATGACGATGATGATCTTGGACCATCGAGTTTTGGATCCGTGGACAAACGAAGTAGGAATTCTCCTTTTTCGTCATCCTCATTGTCTTTTGCTTCGTGTACCCTCTTTCCCGCAGTAATACTCTCTCTCCCTCTCTCTTTTTTCAGCATACTTTCAGTTTTGCCTTGATTAGACGAAATTAATGTTCATATGTTTCTATTCATGTACAGGTACAATCAAGACTAGAGAGATCGTTTCTAGCATGGAAGCAACACCGAGCAGAGACCTCAAAACCGAACACAGGAATCATCACAGGTGCAGTTAACGCATCAGCTTCAGTCCATTATCCTCCATTGTCGAGTAACAAAGCCATATTGAAGATGGGAAAAGTATCAAACCCGGGTTGTGTTCAGAGAAGCTATAGAAGCGCAAGATCTCAGTCTCAGTTAGTGTCTCTATCGCGTCTACTATCTTGCAATGCGTCATCATGTTCTTCTCCTGATATCAGCTCCGGTGAAGACCTCAGAAAACAAGATCAATGTGGGCTCTGGAGTACACCGGTTGGGGAAATGGGTGCGGTTTTGTCGCTTCAGGTTCAGACAAAGTGTTCTAGTTCGTTTGAAGAGACTCCTGTCTTCTCTTGAGTCTCTTCTTCTTCTGTATCTTTAACTTTGAGTTTCTTCTGTACTCTTCAGGCTTCTTTCTTTCTTTGGTGGTGTGGACAGGTCTTTTGAAATTTTGTTGTATTGTCTGATTAAAAATATTTATCACAACTATTAAAGAAAACAGAAAAATTGTTTATGCTTTGACGAAGAAAATCTTTTCATTTATGAGAATCATCTCTGAATAGTTAAAAATTTTCTTTTAAGTCAAAATTCTGTAAACAAAATAGGTAATTAGTTGTTTGCGATTTCCAAAATGTTTTTCAACATTCCAAATAATCCAAAGCGTAACGAGCAGCGCAAAAACGACGTCGTGGAAACCCAGCAAAAACCCTAAGGAGTCTTCTAAAACCTCTCTCTATTATAAAATGCCCCAAGACCAACACATCTTTCACTGCAATCGTCTATTTCGCAGACCTAAAACTTCTTCTCTCTCGAATTTTCTCTACCTCTTTCATCAACAATGGAATTCTGGGGTAAGAATCGTATCTCTATGCTCTTATCTCCGTGTCTATTAGCTCGTTTTGATCATTGAGACTCGTTTTTTTCTATCTGTTCATGTCTTTGGTGTTCCTTTGCTATTTTTCTCTCTGGATCATCGATAAAGCTATGTATATGTCTTAGGCTCTTTACTTCTGGACTAGGTTCTTGTATCGTTACATATAGATGCGTTTGCTTATATATCGATTTTAAATTCAACCAAGGAGTCTGTGATACCTAGCTAGAGCTCATGCTCGTTCGATTCCGGTTCTGGTTAGGTATTTCACCGTATCGTTTTCGAAGAATCTGTTTAGTCTCAAGCTGTTGAATCATGTGTGTGTGTTCGTACTTGGCTGCTTCGAGTCTTTGTGCTGTATATATATATATATATATATCTCGTTCTAATTGTTTTCGGTATAGACCTGTGTGTTGTGCAGAGGATGCTTCATATGAGTGCTCATGTTGATTTTTTTTTTTATAATGCATACAGGAGCTGAAGTTATGGTTGGGACGCCTCTTAAAGTTCAGCCTGATGAAGAATGCCTTGTCCACATTTCTCAGGTTATTTCTCAAACGCCAATGAGAAATTCTATAAGTTTTGAGGAACTATATACTTAATTTTTCGTTGATTTTTTTTTTCTTGTTCTTCATGTGTAGGCATCGCTTGATAAAGGGAAAAAGGGAGAATCTGTGCTCTTGTATGTGAAGGTTGATGGGATTAAGCTTGTTATTGGAACTCTTTCAGAAGGAAACATTCCTCAGATTAGCTTTGATCTCGTCTTTGAGAAAGAGTTTGAGCTTTCCCACAGCTCCACTGTAGGAAGTGTCCATTTCGTTGGCTACAGATCCCCCAACATCGAACAATATCCTTTTTATTTGTTCTATATTAATGTTTGTGTTGGCTGGATGATGCAATAAGCGTTCGTCTTATCAAATTTTTGTTTTTATTTCCTTAACTCTCTCTGATGATTGTGTGTGTTTCCACGGATGATGATTTCTCTTCTGGTGAGTCACAAGATTCACCTCTCTTGTTATTTTTTTCCTACTTTTTTACACATTGCCATGATTACTAATGAGTCAATATCTTATCTAACATGTTCAGAGGAGGAGGAAGAGGTGATTCCTGCAGCTGTCGCTGCTAATGGTCTGTACTAAGAATTCTAGTGTTTTGTCTCTTTGTATTTTCCTGAAACAAAGACCATATCATCTCAAATATTTTCTTTTCCTTTGTATTTCAGGAAACTCTAGACCTGCTGTTGTGAAGGCTGAGTCAAAACCAAAGGCCAAGCCTGCAGAAGTCAAGCCTGTGGAGGTGAAGCCTGAATCAGACGAGTCAGACGACGATTCAGACTCGGAAGATGACTCTGGAAATGATGAATCCGACTCTGAGAAAGCGGTAAGTTTTTGTAGCTGTCTATGATTTGCGTTTTTCTACCTCGGATATATATCAATGTATGCACACAGATTCAGGAGATAACAAAATTGTCTGGATTTTTTTATTGCAGATGGATGTTGACTCAGACGATTCAGATGAAGAGGATTCATCAGAAGAAGAAGAAGAGGAGACCCCTAAGCAGGTAGCTATCGAACAATTTGCTCTGTTTACTAACAACTTTGGTACAAAATTCATTTGATCTCACTTTACTGTCGATTGATATATGAAAAGCCTGAGCCGAGCAACAAGAAGAGGGTGAATGAGTCTGGATCCAAAGCACCTGTCTCAGCAAAGAAAGCAAAAGCAGCGGCACCAGCAGCAGTTACTCCTCAGAAGACGGAAGAGAAGAAGAAAGGAGGGCACTCAGCTACACCACACCCAGCTAAAAAGGGTGGTAAGGGTCCTTTCAACGCTAACCAGAGCCCCAAGTCTGGTGGAGGACAATCATCCGGTGGTTCTAACAAGAAGTGAGTCCTCTCTCTCTTTCTTCTTCACCTCGATGCAAAAGTGTTTAATGGTTTTTTTTTAAGTTTGGACTAAATGGTGTGATATGATGTGTGTGCAGGCAATTCAACTCTGGCAAGCCGCATGGTGGTTCTAACAGCAACAAGGGCAAAGGAAAGGGCAAGGGCAGAGCCTAAGTGAGGTCGAGCAATGGTGTGGAAGGTTTTTGTTTTTTAAAGTAGATGATAATTCAAAGGTGCTTTGGGAGCTAAGAGGAGAGAGAGACCGCTTTTATTTTTATTTTTCTTTATCTTAAGACTTTATCAAAAAGGTCTATTTTGAGTAGTTGCAATTTGAACTCTTTATGTAATCAAAATTGCTTAAACGTTTGGATTGCAATCATGAAATTAGTATCCTATATCAGTTTACTGTTTAACCGAAAAGCTCTCAATTCTCAGTGTATAAAACACAAAAACTCGGATTTGATTTTGGTACTAATGGTGTTAAAGAACATAAACATTATTTTGAAGTCAACAATCTTGATTTCGCAAGCAGTAGGCTCTTCTTGCTCCTTTCTAAGACCAATCCAAACGCAACGGAAACTTCTCAAGGACCACAGAGTTCTCAAGCAAATACTCAATTAGCTTCATCTCTATTCCAGTTCCACAGTTTGGTCTCAACATACTCGAGGCTCGATTTTGCCAACACTTTGGCATTTTAGCTTCTGCAAAATGTTATCCCCAACAGATAATATGACATCTTTTTTTTAATTTATCAAAACACAGCAAAAACATTACCAAAACAAGGGATTTGAGATTTGGACAGCTCTCAAGAAACTTTGGCAACAATCATATTTGGAACCGAGTCATGTTGCTAAAATGAGGCACCGATTTCAAATACATATTGACAGTTGATCTGCAAAAAATGTCAACGTCAATTCTCAGAGATTCACTACAAATAGTGTTTATAGATTCAATTTCGTATTAGGAATTTGTTTCTTTTACAGCTTTGTGACCTGGAAAAAAAAAAGAGAGTCTGAAATCTAATGGATAAAAAGAATAACCAATACTAAACTCTCCTAAAAATGGAAACTGCAATTTTTTTTTGAGTGTTACAAAAACATGTACATTGGACAAGTCTCTTCAAGTTCAACAACAAGTTCACAAGAAGCGGAGCATCTCTTTAATCTCAGGAGCTCCATAAAGATGGTTGACTCTTGGTTCATTCTCCTATAACCCAAACACACCTTAAACTTCTTGAGCACTGCCGAATTCTCGAGAAAGTACTTTACTAGTTTCATTTCCGCTCTAGCTCCACTTATGGGTGTTTTCAGCTCAACGTACTCTAGCGATGATCTTAAACATTCTGGAACTGATGACGATGAGAAAACAAGTGGTTCGTTCTTCTTGTATTCCTCCAGCTCCTGCCATATATATCATTCAACAAGTAGATTATCAATAATAAGATCGACTTTATCTTTAGGACTCATGATGATCATGTGAGTAAAGCCATAGTGTAAAAAAAAAAAAGGTACCAAGACAAGGGATTTGAGATTTGGACAGCTCTCAAGAAAGCTTGGCAACTCCTTCAAATCAGAGTTACAGAAGACCGCATGGAATCGGATCATGTAAGGAAATTTGGGAAGCGGTTCGTATTTCAAGCAGAGACAGATGATCTGCAAACACTAAAAGAAAAGTCACTCCATATGCTCAATTCACTCCATTGACATATGTATATATACACACTCACCTTCATAGTTGTTTTACGTAAAGTCATGTCCCTTACGCTCGAGAGCATGGTGAAGAATTTTGTCACTGCACTTGTCTTTGAATCGGACAAACCAAAGTTGACATCAATATCAACCTTGGCAGATGAACTCAGATTGTTTATCACGAAACTTCTCAGCTGCTCATCATCTTTAAGACTCAGATACCTGAGTCCAGGAGCATCAATCACAACTTCCGGATCCGGATCGCTATACCAATACTTGTCAGCACTGAGAACAATCACAAGACTCTTCAATGACTGGGAACGCACTCGTAACACCTTAACAGCGTTATCTACATGTACGCTACTAACAAACGTTAAATCTTCAAGAAGTGGGCAAGATGAGATCAGCTTCTCAAGAAAGGCATCGTTAGAGTAGACGTTGTCTTTTAAATGCAAGATCTTGAGACGAGGTAGAGAAACACGCTCAAAGTCTGGCAGCGTTACAGAACGGAGTTTCAAGTGTATCAGATTCTCACATGTGTAAACGCTGTCCGCAAGGGAAAAACCAAAAAAAAAACGACATCTGATAATTAGATGCTGGACTTTATGCAAAACTGCAAAGTCGATCCACTGTTTCGTATGACCACGATGACCACTGTTGATAGCAAGTTTGAGCTTGAGTAGGCGTTGCTGCTTATAGACATGTAGAAACCCTTGGACAAAACTCACAATGGATTTCTCATTTGGGAAGTGATTGATGTGCAGATCCAAGACAGGAACCGAAAGCCAGAGACTTTTCCATCTCTTGGACAAAACACTTGTCCTAATAGCCATCTTTGTAGGAAGATCAGAGAGTATATCACACAGCAAATGATCCGGTAAGAAGCTTATCCTATCTTCCCGAGCTCTATGATCTGTTACTCCTCTCTCGCTCATTCTTTTTTTTATCTGCTTCGCTTTCAGGACACAAGATCTGCATCAACAATGCGAAATCGACTGCTTATAACTATAGAAGGATCTAGAGTATCTTGAAAATCTGTAAATATATTTGTTAATAATTAATAGATTTGTATCTATGGAAACTAAGTTAATTAGCTTTAGTATCTCTTCCCTATATAAACATATGTAACGATTATTGTAAGGTTCATGAAAGTCAATAATAATTCTTCCAATCACAAACTCTCATCACATCTAATAATAACATCAATTTGAACACGAAGAGACACACATCTATGCATATAGAACAACGTACGTACCAGAGTAAAGCGAAAATTGGACCTGAGAAGAAGCTGAGTCAACGAATATTATCGCTTTCGTGGGTTAGGGTTCAGGGATCTCGGAAAATAATTTAATTCCGAAGAATCATCATCTTTTTGATTTATATCTTTCTTAGAAAATAAAAATCTCTTTGATTTACGTATATGTTTTTTTTTGCGCGCGAGAATTTTGGTTTTACCAAGGAAATACTTTTATTCCTTTACTGGGCTAAAAAGCCCAAACATCATATTACAAACATTAGGGTCCGAGAACATGTAAGAGACAAGCTTGAACCTTGATCATCTCATGCTCACTCCCACTTGTTTCTTTACTGAGTACTATACTACTGGTTAATGAGTGAGAGAGTCTCACTAGTAAAAGCTTTACATTATTATCATCCTCTCTTCTAACAATGATCAAGAGAATAGGGGAAGGCGAGATAAGAACATTAACGCAACCTCAGTATAGTGTGATACAGTCCCGGAGAAGTTCTCCTATTCTCTTGCAGATAAGCTCTGTTTCATCTTGTTCGGTCACAAGAAGCTCTAGTTCTTGCAGATAAGCTCTGTTTCAACTCCTATTTGTATTTCACTTACCAAGCTACTAGAAGCTCTTTGGCCATCCCTTTCTTTTTTACTTTCAGATTACGCTTAAGGACCACTCAAAACATTACCGACTTTAAGCAGTCTGGAATCGAAAGAGACGTTTTGTCCAAAGCTTACAAAAGACATGCCAACAGAATTCAACAAAACCAAACAAGTCTTTTTTTTAATGGTCAGCAACAATTTCGATTTGACACTCGCTAGATCGCCTCGGCAAAGCAAGGAGTTCCCTTAGGAAGGCATGATCTTCTTCTTGCGTGGAAGGTCTCAAACGCACAATAAATGTCTTGAGGATTGCTGAGTTCTCTACAAAGTACCTTGCTACTTTCATTTCAGCGGGCTGTCTCGTAGATATGTCTTTTATCTCTACAGACTCGAGCGATGACAGCAAACACCGAGGCACGGACGGGACTCCTGTTTGTTCCTTCAAAGGGGAGTAAGAAAGTAAAGTCTGCAAAACACACAAGATACATGAATTTTAGGTCACATTTTTAACAACACACTTGCATTGTGGTAAGAAGGTTTGTTCAAGTCATTACCAAGATTATGGATTTTAGATTCGGACAGCTTTCAAGAAACGTTTGCAGACTTTCCGGGTAGTAATAAAACTCAACTTCCAAACAGGACAGGTTGCAAAACTGGGTAATGGTTCTACTTTCCAGTGGGAAGAGAATATCTGCATACATGAAAGAGCAAGTGAGACATATACTGGTAAGCAAAAAACAACATGGAAGAGCACTGAATATGAATAGCATAGACATATACATGGAAAGCATCGGCAGAGATGTTCAGGTCCTTCACTCCCGAGATACTGGTGAGAAACTCCCAACCAAATTCTACACTCAGACTGGTTAGTGTCTGGGAGTGCACCCGTACAACCAATACATGATCATTATCAGATGCACTTCGAACAATGCTCAAGTCTTCAAGAACTGGGCAAGACGAAATAAGCGACTCCAGAACCGCCTCGCTTGCATATACATTGTACTCTAACTTACCCAACAATACCCGACGGAGTCTCAAGTGAAGGAGTGTTTTACAGATATAAAGGCTCAGGGGAATCACCTCCAAACACTCGTGATCTACAGGACCACACTCAACATCAAGACGCTCAAGTTTACTAGTAGCCACAAACTCTATCCAACGATTGACACATAACTGATCATTCTCGCTCTTGTGAATACTTAGCTTCAGCTTGTGCAAGCATGACTTGTCTTCCCTACAGAAATCTAGAAACTTTTCCATAAAACCCACAAAGGCATTGTAATCTGGAAACTCAGAGGAGTCCAAATCCAACCCGGGAATCAAAAGCCAGAGTTTTTGCCACCTATTGGACAGAACGCTAGTCCTAACAGCTTCCTTTGTCGAAAGATGCGATAGCATCTGAGATATCAAAGCGTCTGGTAATTTGCTTATCATATCCTCTCTTGCACTCGAGCAATCTGCAGGCCCTTTGACAGATGTTCCTTTCGCTTTCTATTGTAGTAACTTGGAATACAAGATGTATATTTTGCAGAAAGTCTATGAAGCGAAGCTCATAAACCCCAAAGAAGAATATTCTAGATTTTAATATATATTCTTAGCTTATTTTCTTAGTGTTTAGGAAAGTTTATATTATATTAGGGTTAACATTATGTTAATGTTGTCACATCATAATATTATTTTCATATCAAACACAATTTAATAATAATATTCATATTCTATTATATTTTTCATAACATTAAAGCCTTTGTATACTGCGGGATTGAAGTTAAAGTTTCCACATTATAAATTTTGTGATAAATACACAGCCCCGGCCCATTGTATTTTAGGTCCTATGGGCAAAAAAAATTTTGGACCCTATAAATATTATTTTTCAAAAAATATTTGAATATTTTCTATATACTTTTAAAAGTATGGGCCAATTTTTTGAATAAATTTCGAATTAAGAAATAAAACTAGGCTATTTCTAATTGTTAAAATAAAAATGGGCCCTTTGATACTAAAGAAAACAAAAAAATGAGCTTATTACTGAGGAAAAAAACAAAACAATAGACCCTTTTTACAAAGGTTTTCTATTAAAATGGGCTCGGACCCCTGTGCCATCGCACCTCTGTCCACCCTCTTTGGACCGGGCCTGTAAATACAATAAGTATCGGTGAAGAAGAGGATTCCGATGATATAGATGATGACTTTGACATCAACTTTTCTTAATTTATATTTTGGGGTCATGTTTTTTTGTCTTTTTTTTTTTATCTTTTTTTTAGTTTTATAATTATAAAGCTAATATAGTTTTAGCATCAAAAGTATTTGAGAAATCTTTATGATAATTTGATTTAATGGTTTTTGAGTTTTCACAATCTATTTATGTAGTTTGAAATTTATTCTTTTGCTTAGGATTTCTTTAAAAAAAAAAATCTATCTTTTTGGTTTCTTCTATTACAAGGGAGTTTGATTTTGGTTTTTAGGAATTTTTATTAGAACGTTTATTTTCTTAGATCATTCTTTAATTTAATTTCTAAACTGTCTAAAATAAAACAATTATTTGTGGAGTTGCAGAAGTTTACACCCACAAAATATTATTATTCCCAATTGAAATTCCATCTCTATGAAAATTGAAGTTTATACTTGGAGGAGTCTGTGGACTTGTTTGTCCGTCCTCTACATGATTGTCCACGACATACGTGTTCTGCTTAATGATTTTGCATATCACATTTGTCATGCGAGAGAGTATTAGAGTAACTTGGGACACAAGTGAAGCTCGTAAGTCCATAAAAATTAAATAGAAAGATTTGAAAACCAAAACGTTATATTAAATATGTTATATTTATATTAGTAAAGTTTACATTATATGGTATTAACAAATATTAATTAATATATATATATATATCTTATTATCATCTTGTATAATCAAACACAAATAACTCAATAATATATTAATTCTATTATATTTTAGGAGGTGTTATTGGTTTTTGTATTTTAATGAATTTGAGAATCCAAACCAAATTCAGTGTTATTGGTTCTTGTATTTTAAAATCTATATTAAAATACAGTGTTAGTGGTTCTATGATTTTAAAATCTATAATGAAATACAGTGTTATTGGTTCTATCATTTTAAAATCTAAATATTATAAATATTTGAGTTTTAATTGAATTTGAATGGATTTGGAAGAATTTTCATGACTAAAATACAAAGACTCAAATATAAAGTTTAACCTTGGTATTTGAGTGGATTTGATTTTTTTCTATTTTGCTGATTTTGAAATCAATAAATTTATCAAATCCAAATAAGATTTCTAAATCCACCAAAATACAAGAACCAATAACCCCTACTTACACTTTCCTTTCTTCCATCAAACCCGCTCGCAACGCAGAGACAGCTTCGAAAACTAAGTAGGGGTTATTGGTTTTTGTATTTTGGTGGATTTATAAATCTTCTTTGGATTTGATAAATTTATTGATTTTAAAATCAACAAAATGGAAAAAATCAAATCTACTCGAATACCAATGTTAGACCTTGTATTTGGGTCTTTATATTTTAGTCATGAAAATCCTTCCAAATCTATTCAAATTAAATTAAAACTCAAATCTTTATAATATTTAGATGTTAAAATAATTGAACCAATAACACTGTATTTCATTATGGATTTTAAAATCATAAAACCAATAACACTGTATTTCAATATAAATTTTAAAATACAAAAACTAATAACACTGAATTTGGTTTGGATTCTCAAATCCATTAAATTATAAGAACCAATAACACCTATTAAAAATAAATATGCATTTAGGACGGAATTAAGTAACTGATCAATCAAAATCAAAAACTATAAAATCCAGAAAGTGTGTTTAAAAGCCAAGAAGTTTAAATCACCTGATGGGTTTAGCCGTTTAGGTTTTCGGAAGATGAGACGTAGACGAAGTTCTCAGAGGAAATGAGAGTCCTTTAGGGTTTATCCCATTCTCTAGACACGAGTTTGAGAGAAAAGTTTTTTTTTGTTTCTGTGGTCTTAGTCAAAGGTGTCATGATTTTGAATATGGAGACAGCTGTCCGATATTACTTACTTGTCCTTTGAGATTCCTTTTAGTACTGATTTTGAGTTCAGTCGTTGTCTTCTGCAGGTACAATGGAGGAGGAAAAAGACGATAAGCAGGAGTGAGGAGAGTGAATGATGACGAGGAACCCTCTTTTTCCTCGGGAGTATTAGAAGGCATGCTCTTAGTCACGTGCTGTCTAATGTTCAAAACGACAACTCACTTATGTGTTTGGTTCCAAGTGAGAACCGACGGTTTTGTAATTTGTACCTGGTTCGATGATTTTTTTCCCTTCTGGTATTTCCTCAACTACACTAGTAGAAATTTGTGCTAGAACTACTGTGGACCATTGTCGTATCAAACTAAAGATGCATTGAAACTAGGGGTGGGCAAAAAAATCCAACCGAAGTGAATTAATCCAAACTAACCGAACCAATGTCTATATCAAAACATTTTGGTTGGGATTTCTATCAACCTGAATGGTTTGGTTCAGTTCGGTTTTAAACCAAACCGAACTGAAAACTAATATGTTTTCTTAATTATTAATTATTAAATTTCTAGTTTTTCTTTTGTTTAAATTTGTGTTAATATTGATTTGTTGCAGGTTTTTTTAGGTTATAGAGACAAAATGGAAACTATGTGATATGATGAAATTGAGTGTTTTAATTTTCTTTTTAGTTAAGTATAATTTTATATTGGAGTTTTTTTAGTTTTCCGAGTTTTGTTGTTTAAAACAGTTTATATTTTTATTTTGATTTCGACGTTATGTTTAATATTTAAATAAGGTTTTGTATTGCAAACTATTAAGTATTAACCAAACTAAACAAACCAAACTAAACCGAACTATATTTAAACCGAACTGAACTGAAGTCAAACCGAATTAATTTTGGTTGAGTTCGGTTAAAATTTTAGTATAATCAAACTAACCGAACCGAACCGAAACCATAAGTAAACCGAAATGCCCACCCCTAAATTGAAACATTCATCTGAAAGAAATTAAAGAAAGGCAAATGATAATTAAACCAACTGTTTTCCACTGAACCGTATGAAGCTTACTGTTCCAAATTTTTAAAGTTACGGAGAAAACTTATAATCAATTGAAGTGGCAATTTTATGCCATCGGATGTTAAACTTGCTGCTGATGCAGACATGGCTTAAGAGAAGACCAGCAAAAAAAAAAACCTTTAACAGTTATAGATTTCTCGAACATCATCCAGAACTAATGACCAAAAAGCTCACAAAGACACACATCCTAATAGAATCCAAAATAGCCAACTGGAAATGCAACTCTCAGTCTCGTCGGATCATAGACCCTTTCTAGCCTTCAACAAGCTAAGATCTGACATGTGTTAGATCGCCTGGGCAATGCAAGGAGATCCCTCAGCATGAAGTATCCTTGTTGTATACTAGAGAACCCAACACGCAGAACAAGTTTCTTGAGGATAACTGAGTTTTCTACAAAATACCTTGCGACTTCCATCTTAGCAGTCCCTCCGTTGAAACGTTTTATCTCTACAGACTCGAGTGATGACACCAAACACCGAGGTACGGATGAGAGTCTCATTCCCGGTTTCTCCTTCGAAGGATCAAAATCCTACATAAACACATCATATCAAAGAGAGAACAATAACAAGATTTTAGAATATATATATAAGATAACAGATTCATTAAAAAGTGGAAACTTTAGGTTGTCAAAATCATCACCAGCGACAAGACGAGTGATTTTAGATTCGGACAGCTCTCAAGAAGGGTAGGCAGAATATCAATATTTAATAAACCAATCGTCAGTTTTAAAAGGGAAAGGTTGCTAAACTGGGGAAGTGGCCCGTACTCCCTGTTATAATCGATAAACTGCTCAACAAAAATAAAGAAAGAAAGATAAGAATACGAGTGTGAGCCAAAAAAAAAAAAAAACTTAATGAAGGCAACAACTAGATACAATGTGTATGTATATGACTAGCAGAGCTATATATTACCTCCACAGTATACTGAGAGATCTTCATTTCCTTAACTCCTGAAATACTGGTAAAGAAACTGCGTACCATATTTCGCTTTGGTATGTCAACTACATCGGTAGTATTATCATCACTCTCATTGAAGACAAAAGCAACATTGACCTTGGCTAAGGACCCCGTATTGGTTATGATTTTACTCTCCGATAGATCATCTTGGAACTTCAAATACTTTAGTCTAGGTGCATCAATCATGACCCCCGAGCCTTTTTTAACATAATCATCTACAATGTCATCACCCTCACCAAACAAATAGTCCACATCAAGCTTGGTTAATGTCTGAGAGCGCACTCTTGCAACCTTTATGTTGTCGTTTACCATTCTAACGATGTTCAGATCTTCTAGAGCTGAGCAAGACGAGATGAGTGACTCCAGAGCAGCGTCACTGGCATATAGATTGTGTTCTAAAACCATAGTCTTGAGACGAGGCAAAGACACGGACTCAAACTCACCAAACGATACCCGATGGAGTCTTAGATGTACCAGTGTGTCGCAGACGTAGAGGCTTGAAGGCATCACTTCTAAAAACTCACGCTTCACAAGACACTCAAAATCAAGATGCTCGAGTTTACGTCTAGCCGCAAAGTCTACCCAACGGGTCACACAAGGCGGGTCATTCACATTTTTCTGAATACTTAGCTTGAGCTTGCGCAAGCATGACTTCTCTTCCCTGCAGAAATCTAGGAACCTGTCCACAAAGCTAACAAGGACACTGTGATTTGGGAGCTCGTTAGCGGCCAAATCCAACGCGGGAATCAAAAGCCACACGCTTTTCCACCTCTTGGACAAAACACTTGTCCTAACAATCTCCTTTGTCGGAAGATGCAGCAGTATATGGCATATCAAAGAGTCGGGTAACTTGCTTATCATGTCCTCCTCTCTAGCTCTCAAGTAACGTTCAGCCCATTCGTCGTACATTTCTTTCGAAAAGCTTTCCTTCTTTAAGATCCGATCGCCGATCGCCAAATTGAACAGAGGCAGCCTCGAAATCTGTTGAATACAGACCGAAATTAGCAAGAATTTCAGAAACACATAATCAGAATAGTGGCAATTGATTTTCCACATACCTAAACAATACCAAGATCGACAAAAAGGCCAGAAATTGAGTTACAATTCTAAAATAGAAAAGGAGGGTTGTCGTTGAAATCACCTGATTGGTTTAGGGTTTTTGTATTTCGTAAGGCGAGAGACGAATACGTAGTGGCTGCTCAAGTTCTCGGGTTTATGGAGGGGTTTTCGAAGAGGCCTGCTCAAATGTTTTGGTTGGATTTTCAACTTTTTTACGGCTTAAGAGTATTGTTTTTCTTTTAAAATGCTTATATATATCTTCAAACATTTACGAAATAAAACACTTTTGAGTATTTAGTTGCAATATTAAACATTTTAAGGAACTGAGATATTTTTGAGTATTTTTCAGTCAGATTCGACGATTTTATCATTAATGATATATTCACATTCATATATGCTATCCATGTATTTATATTCATGGGAAGTTAGATCATCCACAATGAGAGTAGCTCCAATACAAAGAGCCTTTCATAGGTTCTAAACATTATTTTAGTTATAAATTTTGAATTTTTTTAAGTTAAAAACTTGTTTAAAAGTAATTAAAATTGTATGGCTCCAATGGTTGAACCCCATTGAGGTTCTAAAAAAAAATTTATTTTAAAAATTAAAATATTTAAATAGAATTTATATTTTATAAAACTTAAACTTTATTGTATTTTATAAAATTTTAAACAAACATGGCATAAAAGCATATTACAAATAGATATATAAATCATAAACAGAAAAAAGACTAGTTGTAATTTTGAAATATGCCAAATTTTTGCCATATATTTTCAACCAAATCAGCTTTCAATTGATGATGTACTTCTCGATCACGAATTCGATTTCGAATGCTCATCAGATTACCGACATTTGAAGACATATCTGTAGAATACGTGAAATCCACTTGTGAAGTTCTGTTTGCTTCTACTTGTGCAAAGTCTAATACATCAAACTGAGTGTACTCATCTCGTTCGTCTTCTACTATCATATTGTGCAGTATGATACACACTCTCATTATCTTTCCAATTTTTACCTTATCCCAAATAAGAGCTGGGTTTTTGACTATGGCAAATCGAGCTTGCAAGACTCCAAAAGCACGCTCGACATCTTTACGTACAGCTTCTTGATGTGTAGCAAATAAGGAAGCTTTTGGACCTTGTGGAATCGGAATAGATTGGATAAAAGTAGCCCATTTTGGATAAATACCATCTGTGAGATAGTAAGCCAACTGATACTCGTGTCCGTTGACAATGTAATTCACTTTTGGAGCTCGACCTTGTAATATATCATCAAAAACTGGTGAACGATCAAGAACATTGATATCGTTTAATGTACTTGGAGGTCCAAAAAATGTGTGCCATATCCAGAGATCTTGTGAAGCTACAGCCTCTAAAACGATTGTTGGCTTTCCAGATGCACGTGTATATTGACCTTTCCATGCGGTCAGGCAATTCTTCCACTCCCAATGCATACAATCAATGCTTCCTATCATCCCGGGAAATCCGCGTATCTCTCTAATATCGAGTAGTCGTTGAAGATCTTCTGGCGTAGGTCTCCTTAAGTACTCATCTCCGAATAAATTTATGACTCCTTCAACAAAATGTTCCAAGCATGAAATCGCAGTGCTCTCACCTAGTCGGAGATATTCGTCAACTGCATCAGCTGCACAACCATATGCCATCATACGAATTGCTGCTGTAGACTTTTGTAATGCAGAGAGACCGAACCTTCCGACAGCATCTCTTCTTTGTTGAAAGAATGGAACTTCAGTGGAGAGTCGATCAACAATAAGCATAAACAAGGGCTTGTTCATTCTGAAACGGCGTCGAAATTTATGAGAAGGGTATATTGCATCTTCACTGAAATAATCATTCCATAAGCGGATTTGTCCTTCTTCACGTTGTCTTTCAATGTAGGCTCGTTTTTTTTTTTGACTTGACTGCTTCTCGACGATCACCATGATGAATGAAAAAATTATCAAATGCTTGATCGAATGCTTGATCAGAAAATTGCTCGAATTTTTTATCCATCATTTTTTCGATATCATTATTAGAAGAAGATGCCATTTTAGAGAAATAGATGAATATATGGTAAAAAAAAGTAAAATATTTGATATTTTTTTTGGTAAACGAACTGAGAAACTTTGAAAAGAAGCAAAGTGTTTTGTGAGACATATTGTATCATCTTTGTGACTTAAGTAGAAAACATTTGTGGTGTACATCTCTTTCGATATATGTGGTTCCAATACAAAACAATTATTAAAAAATTTGTGGTTCAGAATAAAAATCACATGAAAACTAACTATGCAAAAGTACATGTCACATGGTGTTGTTGTCTTCTTATTGTCTTCTTCTTCTTCTTGTTTTCTACTCATTCATAGACCAAGAAAACAGAGATGTGCCGCTTGATGCCGCCTTGTTGGTTCCAGCATTGTCTAAACACACCACACAAGGACGTGTTAGATGAAATCTATATTACACATTGAAACAATAAATTCAAGAGCATAGATTCAAGCCATAAACAAACAAAATTCAAGAACAAAGAAAATCACCAATCACAGTCGTTGGTTACAATTTTAGCTTACTCTACATATGCACTCATCTGATATTTTTAAACTGATATTTCACTCATATGATATTTCACTCATCTGATATATTTAAATGCTAGTTACAATAATTTAGCTTACTCTACATATGCAAGATCGAAACAGAAACCTTTATAAAGGGTAAACATCCATGGTTCAAACAACAGAAACTCAATAAAGTACAGACACAGAAACTCAAACTCAACAAACTCAACAAAGTTTCAAACAACAGAAACTCAATCAAACATAAACTCAAGCTCATAAAAGTTTCAAACAACAGAACCTCAATCAAACTCAAACTCAAAAATTTGCTAACATGTCATCAATTAGCTTATTCTTTAAAGTCATTTCTATTTCACTAAGTGGCTCTATTTTTGCAAGTAAACTGTTTGGTTGTTGACTGTTTAAGAGGTTTAAAAAGCTAGAAGATTGACTATATGAATCCATAACCTTGTTTTTGATGAAAGAGCAAAGGAGAAGGAAGGGTTATGTTATGTGTTAGACTCTTACTAAAAACTATTATATATAAAAGGTTGTTAGTGTAGTTGACGTTTAGGGTTTAACATTTAATGGTTCGGGTTTAAGTGTGACAGTACAAGTTGTTGTTAGTGTAGTTAAAGTTTTGGGTTTAAGTTTTAATGGCTAGAGTTTAAGTATGAGAGTAGAAGTTGTTGTTAGTGTAGTTGGCAATCAATGACTTTACCTAAAACTAAAACAAGCAAGCATTGATCACAGATAGCATACGTATAATGTAGACAGAAGTAAATGTAAAGCAGTCCTAGTGCAATAAACGGATGTGACTAAAGTAGATAGATAAGAGATTCACCTAGAGAATTGGTGCCTGAGGAAAATAGCGAGAGATGTGATCATCAATGTTCTTAGCCACACCACAGAGCTCCACAGTTCTCTGCGGAAACTATCTGTATGTTACCCGGTTCATTCAGAGAATGTGTTCGTCCTTTCTGATCAAACAGTTCTCTGCGACAGATTTTCCAGTAAATCCTCCGCTGCGTCAGATTTTCCAGTAAATCCTCTGCTGCGACAGATTTTCCAGTATCTCTATGAGCTGGAGGCCTTCCTGCTGTGACTTCACTGTTTTCCCAGCCACCCTGCCATAGAAATGAACATGACGCATTAAGAGGACATTATTTCCAACTAAGCTACTTCGGCAGGAAGTAGAGAACATACATATTGTAGAACCAAAGACATGATTAGACTATATGCATGTAAGATTCAAAACCTCACATAAAATTCAAGTATTAACAAAGTAGCGCTTTTGGATAAAAGTTTCCTTAGGAAATTCAAGTAGATATTAAAAACAAATCAAATGAATACATGAACAAGAGTGAAAATTCTCAAAAAGCATGAAACACAGCTTTAACTCCTAATAACTATATGCCACATTTCAAGTGAATTGCGACTTTCATGGTCTAATCATTGCAATCAAATCGAGGCAGGTTATGGAAATGAGAAAACCACCAAAATTTCAAGTTAAACAAAGGCTATACAACATGCGGTTCGGTGATACCATAGCATTTTTAGTAAGATGTACCCAGCTTCCTGATATCACACCATAAGCAGTATTTTATAACCAAATGGCTAGTGGAAAGCAATACCTCGATATGACTTGATACGGCATCGATATGACTTGATACGGCTAGTGAAAAAAACCCCCTGCATCGATTAAGTATCAGTAAGGAATGATAAAACAGCTGATTCAAAGATAGTGAGAGGATCCAAGTAAAACGATAGTTATATACACGTGAAGACACAAACAAGGGTATTTCCAATCAAATGATTCGTGAAAAGGAAACAAAAAAAGACATGACACCCGATCAAGCTTAAATTTGAACCTCAAGAAAGAAAAAAAAAACCAGCGAAAGTAAATTTTTTTATAGAAAATGCAGTGACGAAATTGAGCTTGAAATTGCTGTGTTTACATCTTTTCCTTGAAATTAAGCTAAGGGAGCGAAATTCCCGTGAAAGAAGGGGAGAAAAGTGGACGAATTTCTCCAGGAAATGCAATCAAATTAAACGAGACTTGATGGAACCCAAATCAAACTAGAGTCACAAACAAAACCCTAATCCAGCAGCAAAGAGGAAGAAGAAAGTGATTTACCCATGAAGAGATCTGGTTTGTAGGAGAAAGCAGAAGGGAATCTCAGGGGGAAAACGTTGAGGTAAGAAGTGAAGCCGTGTGTGCGAAATGGCGTCGTCGGTCTGAACAAACAAGACGACGGACAATTTTTTTTTTTTTTTCATTTAATTAAATTGACCAATGAGAATGAGGCTCCTACCAGTTCTAAAACTTCCATATTCAGAGTCGACTTTGATGAAATTAATTAGTTTTCATTTATTTTTTTGATTTTTTTGGTTAGAACCTCTTGTTAAGAGGCCCTATTGGAGGTAGTCTGATAGTCTTCCATAAGAGATTCTATATATTAATTATATATATATAGATTATTATTTAATTAAAATTAGTTACAGATGCTCTTAGGGATCTGAACATCTATGTGAATGCTTTGGAGATATATGTTTTTTCATATTTAGAACTCTCTTCGACCAAAGTTTTTGCTTACCAATATATCGCTCACTCACTTGGTCTTTTATGTAAGCAGTTTATCTTTTCCCAGTTTTGCAACCTGTCCTGTTTGGAGGTAGAGTTTTATTACTCCCTGAATGAGTTGCGAACCTTTCTTAAAAGCTTTCCAAATCTAAACTTCCTAGTCTTGCTAATCACTTGAACAAATCCAAGATCTAAACTTAAGAGAAATGTGTTAAAAAAAGTGTTTTCATTCATCTTGTGTTGTTCTGTACGTGTTGTAT